CCCCCCCCCCCCCCCCCCCCCCCAAAAAAAAAAAAAAAATTTTAATAAACCACTCCCATCAAAATTTGGAAGTACAAATGCAGATGTAAGTAATGAAGATATACCTCACCATTTCATCTCCAGTGTGTGCCTCCAAACAACATTGAAAGGTATTCTCATAAGTTGCCTGTGACATTTGCCCTGGAGCTACCTTCCTTTGTATAGGGTACATCTGCATTCCATGATTATTTCATTTAGCAAGAAGTTTTATAATACATGCACAATTTATTTTATAGGCCATGTCATTTTCTGGGAGCCAGGATTTTCCACAATCTTTCAGTGTCAGCTTCCAAATGCTTGTATAACACAGCTGCTTTGAAATTTATTGCATTAGAAAGTTTATTAAATACTTCAGTAACTATTATAGCCTCTTGTCACCATTATGTTGCTAGACATACATTAGGATGAGTAAGATTATGCAACATGGGTTCCACAAAGACTACAAATTCATGAGGCCATGAAATTGTTTGATCATGTACTTACTACTAAATGTAACATACAAAATTCACTCCCTGCTGCTGAGATTTTTCCATGGCATATAGAATGTGTTGTGATTATGATCATTTACAAATGACTTTTATTCATGCTTCCTTTCTATGTACTAATTCATGGTAACTGTAGCCAAAGAATTAGCTTCATGATTTGTGGCAGACCATGAAATGGGGAGCCTTCCACTTCATATTTATATTTATATTTATTTCCATGCTGGTCATTTATTTGGGTTGATTCACAAAATCCATGATCAAATGTTCTTTATTCTTTTATCAAATTTTTTTTTCCTGACAAGCGCTGCATGGACATAAAATGTGATGATGAAATTGTGAAAATAAATAAGACCATCAACCATCATATTTAATCTTGTCCATTTTGTGAAATAGTACCTTCAACTCTGAGAAAATGAATATTTTAAGAGATAGAAATGCACACATCTGAACCTTGTTACATGAATTCATTTGGAATGAGACACTTGGAGAATGAAGACAGAGAAATGATTCATGTCCTAAAGCAAAGCCAGGCACCAACTCGATCTCTTGGTATCAGCCTCAACTCTGTTCCATGTTTCAGGAATACATTCCCTGCAAGAGAGGATAAAAGCAACAAGAATATAAAAAATGAGAGAATACAACAAGTAAAAACTCAAAAGTTATTTGAAGTATCCTTTTGAAAGTATACCAGCTGTTTGCTGTGGATTGATGCCTACACCATCATCAGTTATGATGGCAGATGTGGAGGGGTTCTGCTTGAATTCCTCAGCTGCAAACTTCAACACTGCTGTGAATGGTGTGTTCTCTGGCACACTCAAGCTGCAAAAAGCAATTTTATTATCATTGGTATGCAATAAAACAGGAATATAGTCAATCTTGAACAGAGTCAAATACAAAATCCCAGAAGGAACATCCTTCTTGGGAACGAAGATCTCGAAGGAGAGCTTGAGTTCTTTCCTTGGTGTCTTTCTTGGCCATCAACAGTTTCCATTCATTAATCAACTGTTCTGTGCTGAGGAAGCCAGGGAAGCCACATCTCCACTGTATCTCCTCATTCACATACTCAGGATTTTGGCATTTTCCTTCTTGTGACAAGAAGGCAGTCCAGACATCAAACATGCCACTGAAACTTGCAAAAGCACTTTGTTTCATGGCTGGAGGAAGTGTCACTATTGACTTTACTTTTGATGCATCTAGTTCTTGAAGATACTCTCGAAACCAGGCTGTGATGACTTCAAGCACTCTTGAATCTGCAATCCTGGTTAGAGCAAATATTAGTTGCATCCCATTTGGCTGGAGGGCAATGTCATTGAGTCTGGTCAGAGTTTTGTTGTCTTTCAGGCAATCAGGATTACTTGTCAAGAGTGCAGCCATCAAGTGTGCTTGTGTCTCCATCCCCACATCCAAACCAGAATATTGCTCATCAATCACTTTGGACAATTCTAACAACTCATGGAAAATCTGATTGTTCTTTACAGAGGAAGTTCTTTCAAACTCTATATCACATTCTTGCACAATGGACAATACATCAGTGCATTGCTGCAAAAGGTCCAAGGGTATTGTGGTATTTTGCAAGAAGGATTCTGTAAGTTCTTTCTTTGCATGACTCAAAAATCTGAGCGAGTACAGATGACGACATGTTGTCTTCTCTGCAAGATGTGACAAACATAGTTCTAGTTGTTGTTCAAAGGCTCTTCCATGGCATTTTTTGGTAATGTCTTCACAATATTGAGCCCATGAAAAGGCTCTCTCTATGTTTTTCTTATCCCATCCAGATCTGCTTTTAGCTGGAAGATAAATTGACAACACAAACTCATGAATGTTCTTCAAAAGTGACTCCATCCCACTCTGTGTTCATCCTGAAGCAGAATAGAGCAGGTTAGACCAGAAGGTAAGCATCAATAGCTGACACATAACAAAATGCAAACCAAGGACAATGAACACAACAGGATGTGGCACTTTTAGTCTCTGGGAATCAAATACTGATCAGAGCAGCTAACAATTCCAGCAGCTGCTGAGGAGAAACATGCATGTCCCATTGCCCCTCTTGAATTTCCTAGAGGTTTTACTGGGTTTCTGAAATGCACATTGAACCTGGTGTATGACATAAATCATTTGCATATGGAAACACACATGAAAAATGAGTAACAAAAACAGACAGGCAGCATTAATCAAATAGTTAGAGCAACTCATGAAGCAAGGAGAAGGATCAAAAGCCTCTGTAATGTTAGCCTTGAAAATAGTAAGACTGGAGCAACTTCTTCAAGTTGTCTGACATCTATTTTCAACTTTTTACATTCACAAGCCTAAAAATATTTGGGAATTATTTGAGAAAATGTAGATTTCAAATCAGAAAGTAAGCAGCCATCTTCTAGACTTGTATACCAAAGGTATATGTTCCGTACATACATATGGCATGAATGCCCTCCATATGTATGGTATGGGGATGCAGAAGATAAAAAGAAAGAAACCAGAAATTTTGGCTACTGGTAAGTAGCCACCCATGTGTCAGTACCATGGGTATGGCTCCTCATTCACATCAGCTGATAGAGATACTACCATTAGATCCAGGATTCAAAGAAAAATACCAGTTGACTGTTACAGTGTGACACAAAAGTCAGTTGACAAGTGAGAAAAAAACAACTTTGCCTAAAATCTTTGTTTTTGCTTGGCAGGTGCTGACTGAATATGCTTGATGGAAATGCATAACAACCATGCTGACACCAGAGAGAGTTGAGCTCGTTGTTCTGGTGTCACCCTGTCCAATCCACTGATCACCAAACATGTTATTTAGTTTCTGATGGACTATGAGAGCAAAGTGTGCAAAGAGCAAACTTGTTCTGGTGTCACCATGGCTGGTATGCATTTCCGTTAGGTGTATTCAGTCAGCACCTGCCAAGCAAAAACAAAGATTTTGGGCAAATTTTTTTTTTTCATTTGTCAACTGACTTTTGTGTCACACTGTCATAATAAGTCCCCTTAGTAGCTGTTGGTCATTTCCCCATTATCAAATAGGGGTCTAAGGCAGTGGTTCCCAGACTTTTTTGAATTGTGACCCACTGGAATCCAGGATGAGGTATTCTAAGTAATTATGATGGGAAGAGGATTGATAGACCTTTTCTGGCGGGCATATTTTATCCTGAGCAGATGCAGATGTTGTGATTTTTATACTGGGAAAATGTATGCAACCCACAGTTTGGGAACCACTGATTTAAGCTATCATACATAAGTCCACATCTACAGGGATCCATAATGCAAATGCTGGATTTGAAAACTCACACTTTGTAGGGTAGCTTTGGATCTGATGTCAGGGTAATCTTGAATGTTACCTTCGACCTGAAATTTAAAGCAAGAAAAAATTGATAAAAATTAACCAATATCTTACCTATGAATCTATAGGCCCATACTGGGTGATGAACAAAAAAGTGTCCTTTTTGAAGTTAAGTTTTAAAACTCAAAGAAGTGCAAGGTGGATAATTTATTTTGTGAGAAAAAACTATAAAAATTTGTTCAAAGTTCAAAGTCTCAAGGTTGTTTGCATAAAGAGCAACAGCAGTTCAAACTAAAGTAAGGAAATTAAGATTTTCTACGTATTAGGCTACAGTGGTTTCAGTGGTGCTCTCATTTGTTTCCAAATAGCCTTTCTTTAAATTGCTATATGCTCATTGCAGTGTTTTTGACTACATAGCTATGTAGGAAAAATATATATTTTTCCTGCAAACCGGAGGGGACAAATTGGAATTTCCCTAAGGATATGCAAGCAGACTAAGTGGGCCACCCGCTTGCACGTCTCTGTTCCTGTGAACCTCGTTCACAGGTTCGCAAGGATTTTCCTAGCCTGCTACATATTACATGTCATGTTGTAGCTGATGAAGGGAAATGTCACTGCTATAAAGGAGTGTTTTTAAGAATGGTTGGAGAGGAAAGACTACAGATATGGTTTGATAGGAAATGTATTCTTCTCTTCCCTCTCCAAAATGCATGTGTATTCTTCCACATGCATTGATCCAGAGTCAATTGAAAAGGTGTCAAATGCAAATGAAATAGAAAAATAGAATATTTAAATTTTCTAGAATGAGTCTAGGTAGAGGATTATTTGCTGAATTGGTCAGACAGAACACATTTTGAAAGTGATTGCATCTCCAGAACTCAAACGGCACATCTAGAATATTTTAATATGGGAAGGTGGGGTGGGGAAAAGTAAAAGCCCTCAGGGGTAAGCAGGGGTAATAGAGGAGGGCAGTTGCTGCTACCACCATGTTGCTACTGAGGAGAAAGAGTTCTGACCCCCAAAACCTCCCTGCCCAGACATATTCTATTGAGTTGTGGTTTTAATCTCTTTGCGGCAAAGTGTGTGGAAAATAAGCTAAGCTATGTTGAAAATTCAGGTGCAGTTGCTTGCATATAAAGATAATGTAGGCTATGATGTAGCAGTGCTTCTTATGCCATTCTCATGCATTTCTGCTATTAACATAAGTGGCATGCAGTCCATCACACAGAAATCAGCTCATCACATCAGCCCTGAGTCACATAATGAATGCATGCCATGTAACAAGCCATAATACCACAGGGAAATAGGAATCCTTTTCAGCAGTGAAAGCAGTTGAATGCAGAAGTTACGTATTGAGTCTCAACAAAAATCAAACTTCCGCTTATCACCCTTCTGCTCATAGAATTTAATGTTCATCTGGTCTGTAGGAGTGGGTTTATGCATACCAAATGTGGGCTGCTTATCCTTGTATGGGTGCTTGCTTCTATTGATAACTATGATGGTGTGGTTACATAAGTACATATGTAGAGGCATCCTTGGTTTTAGTGTACATTCAAAATACTTGCTATCTCTATCCAGGGGGAAATTTCATGGAAGTAGACTGATGTCTGCACATGGAAACCAACTCTAAGGTTTACTTTGAAGCATAGCCTAGGTCCAATTTCTAGGCCTGATGTACTCACCCCATGGCAAAGTCAATGCTGGGAACTAAGTGGAAGTCCTACTATCAGTCAGTTGGCCAAACTTTTCATGAAGTCCACTCTGCTCCCAAATGAAGGTCTTCTAGCACTCAAAGTGATCTTGAAATCTGTTGGAACAGGGACTATTTGTACAAACCTAAGCCAAATGCCTGTTTTCCAAAAGGCAAAGACTACCATACATTCTTAAGCATTTATCAATTACAGCATCTATCCAATGAAAACCAGGAAGTCCTTTGAAACACTATATGATTAAATCACAAATCTCAATGATTGGGGCCAAGTGCTATGGTTTAGTGCTCCACCAAACCCTACCTTTGTTTAATTCCAAGAACTCAGGCTTCTCTTTGTTTTGGATTCTACTCAATGTTTATTCTTCCAGTTTTTTCCTGGTTTGTCCATGTACTGTACTCCATTACTTGCTTCATAATCTGCATTCAAAAAGCTCATACTTTATACCTTTAAGAAAAACTTCGCCCAATTGTACAAAATTAGCTCATATTTTAGAATATTATTTGTACTTGTACATCAACCGAGTTATTTTTTAAAACAGTTCACAATTTCCAATGCTTCATAACTTGTAATGAAATAATGTTGCAGTAACCAAATTGGTACAGAATATTAAGGCATAGGAGATTCATGCAAATACATGTTTAATTTCTTGGTGACAACTGTGAAGCAATATGGCATTGTTCACAATGGAGCAAAAAAGTTTAGTGTGAAATGATACTAAAAGCCTAATTAATCACCAGCGTAAGGGGCACTTCAAAAGTTCTTGCCTAGTGGCATGGCACGTCCCTTGATCCTAATGAAATTTTTTTTTCAGGGATTCAATGAGATTCAGTGTTTCAAATATATATTTTTTGCCAATGTGGCAATGCATAGCCAATGGCCAAAAGATGTCACCCCCAAGGGGAGATGACCTTGAGCCAGAGAGATCTGCTAGTGCTAATTTGGTATGGTTCCAGAGGCACCTAACAGTGAAATGGTTTTGAGGAGTAGAAATCATCACTGGGTGATCTTGCCCCATCTACGTGCTTTGTGGCTGACTAGTTTCAAAAGTATGGGGGTGTATGTTGGAGGACGAGCTTTGTGAAGGTCATCCAACTTCAGCAAGTGATGTGGCCAAAGTAAAAGCCACGATAGAGAAAGACCAGAATGTGACATATGCTATTACAGAGGAGACCCTTGGGATTGGAGCACTGGCAGTTAAGAAAGGTCTGCATGAAAATCTTGGAGTGCAGAAACTTTGTTCCTGATGGGTCCCCCATGACCCAACTGAGGATTTATAAAAAGGGCTCAAGTCAATTTTTGCCTAGAAATGTTGCAGAAATTTTACAAAGGAGCTTTGAGCCACCTGTCAAATTCCATTGTGAGTGCTATGTTGAATTTCCATGTTGACCATTTTCTTCACAAAGGCTGGGCAAAAGCTGAATTGAAGGCTGTGCCACTGGAAGACGGTCAGACAGTAACTGCTGACTGGTATGCCAATGCATTCTTTCCCAAAGTCTTCCATACCCAGGCAGACACAAACAACAACAGACCGATTACAGGACACAGAGAGGGAGGGGGTGCATGCTTGGCACAGGCACCACAACTGTATCACAGTCCCTCAGGCAGGGACACCCCTCAATGGTCCTTTAGGAGGCCAAAGGGGCAGCTCACAGGTTGCCTAAGCCCATGACTGGCACAAGCGATTTTTAAGGTGAACTACCATATCTCCAAGACGTGGCACACAGAGTACAAGGTGAAACTTACTGTCATTTTTGGCCCCTTTCCCTGTCAAGGTGCTGCCATATTCCCCTGACTTGGCACCTTGTGATTTTTGGCGGTTCCCAAAAATGAAGGAGCCACTTTGGGGAATTCATTTTGATTCATAGAAGACCTTCAAAAGCAAGTCCATGAACTTTGGAATCCTTCAAAAGCAAAGATTTTGAGGGGTGTTTTCAGAAGTGGTTTTATCGCATGCAGAAATGCATCGATTTGAATGATGACTATGTGCGGAAATTGTGAACAGATTGCCCATGAAATGGCTGAGAATTAATTGAGTTCTTGAGAAAAATAATTTGGTTTGGCAATAGCTTTTGAAGTGTTCCTTTTACACATGCAATGACAGTATCAGTGGCACTTCAGAACCAGGGATGCACCATCCTGGAAGTTTATTAAGAAGCAATATAAGGTTATGAAGATTGTTAAGCATTTTGAATTGGAGGGATCAGGTGTACATAGGAAATCCACTTATGATCTGTGAACCCCCCCCCCCCCACCCCCCCCCCCCCCCCCNCCCCCCCCCCCCCCCCCCCATTGAGAAAGAGGTGTTCATTTCCTGGGCAACCATGACCAAAGCAATTGACTTATACTCTCTCTCTTTGAGATGCTACTGATGAAGTCACATTAGACATGTATGTACTGAGCATTGAACCCAAATGAATCTCCCATGACTTCTTCATATTGTGCAAATTTGGTTACTGTAATGTTATATTAAAAGTTATGTGCATTGGAAACTCTGAACCATTTTAAAAATCACCCTAAAGATTGCATTTCTAGATCTAGCTCTGGAAAGCAGAAGGAAATTTTTTCTTGGGAGTGTGTTCATCTAACTGGGAATTCACTAAAGCCAAAAGAACCTGAATGGAAAAAAAACAAGCTGGTAAACAGACAGATATCTTTGGGGCACATTGAGACAAATATCTACTAGTTCAATGAAAATGTATCTGGTTTTCTTCTACTAGAGGCATGGAGCAGATCATAACCCTTCAATTTCCTTTATAAATGTGAGCCATTTTCAACCATGGTCTGGAAGTAGGACATAAACATAAATTATTTAGTAAACAAAATATCACCAGAACAACATTAAGAAATTAGGGTATGTAGCAGACACATCCAACCTCAACATGGTATGATTAAAATTTCTCTCTATTAACCCTTTTGATATCCAAGTATTTTAAATACATCAGCACTGTCAATCCGAGCTTTTTTCATTCCTCGTATAAAAATTAATTACTCAGCAGGTACCCTACCTAAAGTGTTGCAGTTTCTAATATTTTAAAGAGAATAGAATATCTTGAATAATTGAATGGAAAATTTTGGAAACAGGGATGATTTGGGCATGGGTGAGGGGAAGATATTTGGCCAAACAGAGATACTTGGGCTTAAACTCCAAAGGGTTAAGGTTGACCCCCAAAAAATCGACTATGAGAAATTGTCTGACATATGTCTTTCAATGGCTTAATGTAATTTTCTGCTTGATGGAATAACCTTATGCTGAGAGAAAGTAAACTAACTTGGTTGAAAAAGGAGCCTTATTTGCTGGATTTAAACAGTTTGGGGTATGGTGTAACACAAAACACTAAATATCGGCAATGGTGACCTGACGAAGTGGATATCGAAGGCCTAACTTTGACAGTCTAATTTAAAGGGACTGATTGACACGTGGAAGCACCACAGCCCAAAGCAAGGTGCCATTTTAACTTTCAGTGGTCCTAAAATTCCCAAAGGAAGATACGAAATCACACCCGAGCGTCCAAAATTGGTAAAACTTTCCTCACGTTCGTCTATTGGGCAAGCTGTACGCTTCATGTACGCGAAGAAAATATGTTGCAAAGTATCAAAAGTTCACATTTCTAAAGGCACTAAAGAGACTTGGATCTGGAATCGAGGTATCATACCCCATATGCGGCATCCTTTGTTTTGCATGACAGCCTCCCAGCTGTACTCCCGTTGACCCGCGCAATCACGCAGGGCGGGAAATGTGACGGACGTTAGAGTCCTTAACTTCCCTTTTACGTCTTCCAAACATAGGACATCCTCTCCTCAATATTGCACCTTCGACATGCCCCGGCCACTTACTGGTAATACTCCCAGAGGAAGAAATTCCAGCTTCCAGAAAGGAGGAGTCGACCATGGAGCCAAAAGCCTCAGAGAAAACGGACAACCACCGCAGAAGAAATTTAAGTGAGGAGTAACTTAAGCTGATTCCCTTGATAGAATCTTAGTACAGTATTTTTCACTCGTCTTGGACACCTGCGTATGGGACTTTCCTCATGCTCGAGTGTCTGAGTCAAGTGAAAAGCACTGGATATGAACATAAACCTGGCAGCCTATCGTTAGTGCCTAACAGCTTAAGGTCCCAATAAACATGCAGAATGGATCCAATAATCTTCAAGTCTTATTCATAAGCAAGGGACACTAAAGAAATAAAAGTCACAAAATGATAATTCCACCTCTTCATTATATGTGAAGTACTGGCCACCAAGAGTTTTTGAGCCATATTTTTGGAAGTTGTGGTTTCTCATTTCCTTATTTCAGAGAAGGGGATAATGGAGATGGGAATCTTTCCTCATTTGAAATGGAACTGCTGCAGCTTGATGATGCAGAAGTTGAAATGTTTGATAGTGAATCACCAGAGCTCCAAGGGATGGTAAGTTTCAAATAACCCAGAGTTTTCATGAAGCAGTTTGATCCAACCTGCTTTGGCCCCTCCCATGTCGTGTATTCTCCTGTGGCTACCCCTCAGGCACATTAACTTTTTATCTACCAATACCAGTGTCCCATTGGAAAATAGAAGTCATAATTAAGTTTTTAGTTTTTTTTTTTTCATCTGTTTCTGATATGCAGTTGCCATAGTAACCAATAGTCAACAGTTACCATAGCAACCAATGCCCACTCTACTCAGAGTACAGTGCTGCCTTTGCCTATGTGGAATTATCAGCCACCAACTAGAGCTGCCAGTTCTTTTCCAGTTGTTCCAGCTAATGAATAGAATGGTGTGTTTTGTGATGGTTGGTGCAGAGGGGAATGATAATCCACCTGTTCTACCTTTCACTTTTTATGGATTTCAAATTGATTTTTAAAATTAATTTGTTCAGCATCATCACCAACCATTTTTATTTATTTATCATGGGAGATTTTAAGAAAAATTATACCATAATAGAGAAAGAGGAGTTGAGTAAGTTATGTTATAAAAAGACTATCTGGAATGCAAGTGCCAACTATGCCACTGCATTGACTGTGATGGTGGTAGCCTGATAGCTATTTCACCAACTGGAAGATTTGCATACTTGCACAGCTTTTACAATCCAGGAGGGTTTGATCAGAAGAGCAAGGGGCCCAAGGTAAGGGCCAGCCCATCTAATCCTATCCATCTGTTTGGAAAGGTATCTACCATAACTAGCACCATCTCTCGGCCATACAGAAAATTATAATGCTATCTAGGAAACTTCAAGGTGTGCACCTCATTATGTGCTTTTCCATGTGGCTAGAGAAAGCATTTCTATGCAGAAATGTTGCATTTATAAATGCAGACTTGTATAAGATTCAGTCTTTTGATTTGGCTCATGTTTCTGGCCTCTTGTCATAGGTAAACTCCTGAAATATCAGCTATGTGTATGAGCCACTTCTAGCCATCCCCATCTATTTTGGTTCCTTTTGATATTGCTTCAATATCTTGCTTCTCTGATATTTAATATTGATGTGAGATTATGATTCAAGGTTTTTTTCTCTCTGTCAGTCCAGAACCTAAATCCTCTTCTATGAAAGAGGACTGTGATTATTTTTTATTTCAATTATTGAGAAATCTAATCCGAATTTTAAAACTTTCCTTCTCAATCCCATGTGATTTATGTTTCAAGATTATTCCAGAGATGATCTTTCATTGATGAGGGGGGAGTTTCAGGCTACAGTTGATGCTTGCTATGATGAAATTCAAGGGAGGGTTGTTTTTTCATCGCTATAACATTTTCATTAAAACATTATAACTGAATTTTGAAAAAAAAAGTACAGTAATTAAATTTTCGCAACATCTGAAGGTGAAGTAGAAACAAGCTAGTGTGTACTGTAGAGTATTGCTTTGGGCATGGGCATGACTAATCAAATGTGCAACTAATTGATCGACTATGCACATGTGAAGGTCATGCATATAGCACTACAATTAAAACCATGTTTCCACTCAATAATGGCTTGTTATAGGACAGAACTGGCTTCTTTTTTTTATTTGATTTCATTTTAACAACTTGTTTTTAGCAATCAGTAATAGAAAATGACTTCATTACATGGTATGTTTGTAATGTTGTAATTCATTGCAACATTTTGTATTTTGTACAGGGAGATGCTGAGGCCTACTAAATGTTGACAAATTTTTGTTAATTTGTGATTTTCATTCAATTGTACTTTCCTTATAATGAGTGCCAACTGTATTGGAAATTTTAAACATACTGCCCCAAATTATTTTGCTTTGTAGTCTCACATTCTAATTAGGTCATTACTAGAATCCTTATTTGAAGGAATATCAGATGAAAGGTTGCCTGATGAGTTGACCAGTTTTGTCCTACTATCTGGAAAGCAACCTTCTAGTCTTTACAAGGAACATTCAATATGCTATGGACCAAGACTCTTTTGCCCCTTCCTCCATAGCATTTAATGTAGTGGATAGTCTACTTTGGTGCCACAGCATCTATGCCTCCTGGGGGTATACATAACATGAAAAGGGAGCTTTGTCTTATGCTTATCTTCAACAATCAGCTGTCTACTGATTAAAATGAGTTTGTGATTTTTACAGGGGCCAGAAATCATGCAGACAAGTGCAAAATGGAGTCGCCCTGCACCCCCAAAATACAATTCCAATGAAGATACTCTGACTTTTCATCAAATTGATGTTGATCACTACATTGGTATGTCAAGTGCACCCCAGATATCAGAATCAGAGCAGATTTTTGTGCATTTTATATTCTGTCTCTAGTTTTTGAATATGCATTGAGTATGTAATATGTATTTTTAAAAATACAGGGGGTCCAAAAAATAATCACTCATAACTTTATTGCTCACAATAGAGATAAGTGAGAAATACCAAAAGGGGGTGCTGATCAAATGCACCTGAGTGACTCTATTTTAAATACTGTCCACCTTTGATTGTGACAGTTGGTGTTTGTGTATGCTAAAAAGAGGCTTTCTGTACTGTACCACTGGGGCTCAGGAGGAACAATCCACTTGGAGCAGCTTTGATGAATATCTATAAAATTGTCACTGTTTGGTAAGATCAATTAAATGCAATGCTGTTTAATTTTCCAAACAATCACAACATTCTTGGATTTTCTCTCCTATCTTGATGAGCTCTGCATTCCAGAAGAAGTTTTTATTGTGCTCATGTGCCAAAATTGTCTAAAATTTGAATGTGTACCATATATATTACGTAGCATAAATTAATCTCAGTGATCCAAAGCAGTCTGTATTTTTTTTGAACCAGAGAATGGTTAACAAATTTGTCACATCGATTTTTCCTAGATCTGATTTCAACCCTTGAGATTTATACAGGGTCTGGCAGAAACATCTACCCACTTTCAAACTGCAAAAAAGTGGGGGTAAAAAAGCTTTTTTATCAAAATAAATATACAGATAGAATATGTTTGTTATGCCATTTAATTTGGTATCTTAGTTCCTGAAGATCACGTCTTCCAGGCGACCTTTGCTTTCTAGGTACAGAACTGCTCTCTGATTTTATCATTACCCACTTGGATTGTAAGCTTGCAATAAGCTGAACAATGACATATATTTCATTAGAAATATGAAATGGTGGGAAGATCAATTTCATCAACAACAAAAAAAAAAACTATTGAAACTATTGCCCATTTGAGAGTAATATGCAAACAAGTGGCATATGATATAAACTCTATTTGTATATTTATTTCCAATAAATAGCTTTTTTTACCCCCACTTTTTGCACTTTGAAAGTGGGTAGATGTTTCTGCCAGACCCTGTATAACTTAGTACCAGTGCTACTTGTCTTGTGATTGCAAAAGAGCTTAGTAGCCACATGCCTCTGGGTTGACTTTCTGATTTGTTACTCCTTGTTCTAATGAGTCCTTTCTAATTCCTTTATTTATCAAACATAGTAATTATATTAAGTGAGCCTGAAGTAATGACCCACTGTTCATAAGTGTTGTAACTTTGGAATGGCTTCATATATTTTCAGCCAACAGCATGGATTAGCTAGCCAAATATTTACAAAAGTAATTTGAAAAAGCAACAGAATGAACATATCCACATACATGCAGCACATTGTCTTCTTTTGTTCTCCATTTCATGATCTTTTCCAGAGTGTGTACTGTTCTCACTCTACCGGGGCAATTACTGCCCAACACTATTCCAGCTTCCCAAATATTTTCATTTAGCACTCAATCATCTCTAATATAGGCACTCATTCCCCAAATTCCTGTTGCATTCTGCATTGTCCTCTGTAAAATTGTTCAAAAAAGTAATTGCATTGTCTAAATTTTTCTTAAGAGGCTCCACCTGTCATGTGCTTTATAAGTGTCCTATTTGTTTCTGATGAAAATGGCTACCTAACACAGCTTCTTTCATGAAAATTCTTGAAACCATTGCAAATTTACAGCAGTTTAAAGTGTAAATCATTACTCCTGGCTCATCCTGTAGTCTACATATCATTTCCAAAATCATTATTGAAAATTTTGTTATTTTATCATGCTACCTTTGATATGACTTGCAGGTCAGGCAATAAGAGGCATGCCTGGGGCACAAAGTGGACCAGTTCCAATCATGAGAATGTTTGGCATCACAAAGTTGGGGAATTCTGTGTGCTGTCATGTTCATGGCTTTGTTCCTCATTTTTATGTCCTAGCCCCAAATGACTTTTCTGAAGATCATGTCAAGGAATTCCTTGTAAGTCAGATTAATGAATAGTTTCCCATAGATTGTCATTCAGTAACAACTGATATAACTCATTTAGTATTTATTTATTTCTCTTTTTCTAGGACTCACTGAATAGAGCTGTCTTAGATGATATGCGATCAAATAAGGAAGGCTTGAATCATGCTGTTCTTGCTGTGGAGATCCAGAGAAAAGAATCCATATATGGATTCAGTGGGAATCAGAAATCAGACTTCATCAAAATTACAATGGCCTTACCCAAGCTGATTGCTCCAGCAAAGCGTCTCCTGGAAAGGGGAGAGGTCACTGTGAAGGGTTTTGCTGGCCATTCCTATATTCCCTATGAAACAAATATTGATTTTGAGATCAGGTAAAGAGGCATTGGTTGTTTCTTCATGTATGCTCTCACTGCTTAATGTATAAGTGTATTTCTGTATATTATCTCATTGGCAGGTTTATGGTAGACAGGGGAGTGGTTGGTTGCAGTTGGATTGAGTTACCTAAAGGGAAATATCATCTAAGGTCCCGTGACTTGGTTCCTTATCCAGTGTCTCATTCTCAGATAGAGGTTGATGTTGCCTGGGATGCCATGATTGCTCATCCTCCTGAGGGAGAGTGGGCTGATATTGCACCTTTCCGTATTCTCAGTTTTGACATTGAGTGTGCAGGCAGGAAAGGTAAAACTCAAGATTCTCCTTCCCTTTTGGTGTCATTCTTGTGTTTATTTGTTAACCTTTATTGTCTTGTGGTTATAGGTGTGTTCCCAGAACCAGAGAAAGACCCAGTGATTCAGATTGCCAATATGGTTGTTCATCAAGGTGAAAAGACACCTTTTATTCGTAATGTCTTTACACTTCACTCATGTGCTCCTATTGTTGGATCTCAAGTCATCAGCTGCAGCAATGAAAGAGATCTTCTAAATGTGAGAAACCTGCATCATATATCAGTCTGGAATGAATCAGATTCCAGACACCAATAGACTTTTTCCTTGAAAATGTTCTGGGGCTCTTCCTAGGGATGGGCCAATTTCATCAGAGAAGTCGACCCTGACATTATAACTGGATATAATATCCAGAACTTTGATCTACCTTATCTTCTGAACCGAGCAAAGGCTCTCAAATGTGAAAACTTCCCTTACCTTGGTCGGGTCAAGGATATCAGGTCTGTTATTTTTAAAGCCATTTTCTATCCTGTCTTTTGCTCGTCATAGTCATTATTGAAATATTCTGCTGTTACATTTCCAGGACTGTGGTAAAAGAAACAGTTCTTCAGAGTAAACAGTTGGGTCGCAGAGAGAGCAAGAACATCAACACAGAGGGCCGAGTCCAGTTTGATCTTCTTTTAGTCCTTCTGAGGGACTACAAGCTTCGTTCATACACTCTGAATGCTGTCAGTTTCCACTTCCTCCAAGAACAGAAAGAAGATGTGCATCATTCCATCATCACTGACCTCCAGAACAAAGATGAACACTCTCGTCGCAGGTGAGACTCACTCCTTGATGCCCTGTTGTTTCTCTGAAGGTGGCTATGGACTCATTGATACATCTTCCTACTAATAGGCTTGCAGTATACTGTTTGAAAGATGCCTACCTTCCATTGAGGCTCCTGGATAACCTGATGTGCATCATCAATTACATGGAAATGGCTCGAGTCACTGGAGTGCCTCTGGGATATCTGCTCACTCGAGGCCAGCAGATCAAAGTTGTCTCTCAGCTGCTCCGAAAGGTCTGAGCATCTGCTGGATGTTTTAGAGTGGAAACTGTGTTTTTTCATTTGAGATCATACTTCATATGACTCTGTTACCCCACCCATGTCTACTTGTTCTTCCCGAGTTCAATTTTCCCAATTCCTTTTCTAAATTGGCAAGGTAAACTCAACAAATGAAACTTACAAAAGGGAAACTGAACCTATGCTGAAGTTTCTCTAATTACATTGTATCATGGATAAGCTCCTTTTCATTACCTCTTGTGTTATGAAATAAGCCAATCTTTTCTATCATTCTGTATTGAAAAAAAAATCAAAGATGCATTGGAAGTTTGATGTTTTGAAACTCCATGGCTCTTGCCTCTCACTTTCATTTGTTTAAGGCTCCCATTCAAAAGGAATGGCTAATCTATATCAGTCACTAATTCATTGCAGGGGTTATGCTAAGTTTCTTGCCCTGGCCTCCTGCCCATGCATCCTGGGGGTCCTGGGCCCCCAGGATGCACAGGCAGAGGGCCTAAGACTGCTGGATTGATGTACTGCTTGGTTATGTCAGTTACATATGAAGTCAGCAAATAAAAATGGATTGCTGGACTTTTACTTTTAGGGAACCCTTCAAGATTCCCTTGTGCTTCACTTGGAAAGTAACCCCCTTAATTATTAGGGGACCCTTCCATATCAGACCTGAGGGTCCGGGGGACCCCCTACGGCAAGAAACCTAGTGAAACTCCTGCATTGCTCCATTAATTGTATTGTATGAAAAAAAAGCAGAAGTGCCATGGGTAATTGTTTCATGGAAATAAGAAAGTGTGAAATAATCCAAAGAGCAGACAAATGTGAATTTTCCTAATACTGGCATGCACCTAAAGAGAAAGAGAAACTATTCTTCTAGCTGTTTCAGGGCTGTTTTCATTTTTTTGAAAAATGAAATTCTTCAGAAATGAATGCAATGGCACCATTTCCATGTATTTGGCAGCATTCCTGTATAGAATGATGAAGAAATAGGAGGGAAGAAAGATAGAGTGGTACAGAGAGCATGATAGATACTAGTGACTTTACTCAAAAGATTCCTAAAACTTCCTGTCCTGTCAAGGGATTCAAATCCTGTTGCAAGAAACCAACTTGAGATGGTTGATATGCAGGCATATATTTGAAGAACCAAATTGCCTGTTGGATTATGTTAGATTGCTCATATGGCCAGTTAGAACAGGAGGAAAGTATGAATGAAGTTGACTCAGAGGTGAGGCAAGAGAGACAGCAGATGAAGGGATTGGGTGATAGTGAAACAGATGAAGTGTTGTGAAGTAACACTTCAGGCATGATGTGAGTCCATTGTGCACAAAATTTCATGGGAGTGACAAACAATGAGATTTTTGGTTCAATAAAGACTCTTTGCAAGTGAGACACTAATGCACTCTGAAGTAAATTTTTTTTTATTAGGCCAAAGAGCAAGATCTTCTCTTTCCTGTGGTGAAGTCAGAAGCTGGAGAGGACTTCATGGGAGCAACTGTGATTGAACCAGAGAAGGGCTTTTACAATATTCCCATTACAACCTTGGATTTCAGTTCTCTATATCCAAGCATCATGATGGCTCACAATCTCTGCTATACAACACTCCTCAGTCAATCCTCTATAGAGAAACATAAGTGTGTTTTATTGGTATAAAGATTTAAAAAGCAGCCAGCAGTAATTTACAATCTCTTATCTACTGCTTTATTTAGGTTGGCTCCTGAAGATTTCATCAAGACACCTTCTGGAAACTTGTTTGTGAAGTCATCAGTTCGTAAAGGTCTCCTTCCTGAAATCTTGGAGAATCTCCTTGGTGCCAGAAAGAAGGCCAAGGCTGATCTCAAAGAAGAGACCGATCCTTTCAGGAAGCAAGTTCTTGATGGCAGACAATTGGCACTGAAAATCAGTGCCAATTCAGTGTATGGTTTCACTGGTGCTCAAGTTGGGAAGCTTCCTTGCTTAGAAATTTCTCAGGTGGATAAATGCAGTGCTGAGTAGAAGTCAGTTTTTTTTTTTTGTTGATTCTTATATCAAGGGAAAATTATGCTATTTCCAGAGTGTGACAGCATTTGGCCGTATGATGATTGAACAGACCAAAAAGGAAGTGGAAGATCACTTTTGTATGAAGAATGGCTATAAGCATGATGCAAAGGTTAGAGACTCCATCTTGGTCTGTTGGTCTCTCTTGGTGAGGAAGTTTATAAGTGGCTGGATCCTTTCAGGTGATCTACGGTGATACTGACTCTGTGATGGTTCGATTTGGTGTAGAGACTCTTACAGAAGCTATGGCACTTGGGAGAGAAGCTGCTGAATATGTTAGCAACAAGTTCATCAAGCCCATCAAGTTAGAATTTGAAAAGGTAATGTGCCTATTTCTGTACGACAGGCTATGCCCAAAACTGGGAGTGCCATATTTCTACCCTAGTTCAGTTATTACTCGCCCTTGTGAGCAAATATGTTTGAGTAACCTTGACCATGTACTGGCATGTGAGATTTCCTGTTGACACCCCCAGTTTTTTAATGTTGCATGTCATTATGCTCTTTACAGGTATATTTCCCATACCTCCTGATCAATAAGAAGCGCTATGCCGGTCTCTATTTCACACGCCCTGATACATATGACAAGATGGATTGCAAAGGCATTGAGACTGTTCGGCGAGATAATTGTCCTCTTGTGGCCAATCTCATCAATACCTGTCTGGAGAAGATCCTTATTGACAGGTATCAGTTATTCTCATATATTTCTCGTAGGATTTATTTAAATAAATACATGGTTGTCAAAAAGTTTGTAGACTGAGTAACATTTGGCTGAACCATGAAAGGTAAAACGCTGAAATTATTTATGTGGCTCACCCGCAAGGCTCTCAGTTTATTAACTTTTTGATTTCCCTGTGTATATAATTTTTTCACAGAGACATATGCAGTATGTACTTTTTTCTTAACCATTACCCAATGTTGTCCAGGGATCCAAATGGAGCTGTGGAATTTGCCAAGCAGACTATATCAGACCTGCTATGTAATCGTGTGGATATTTCTCAGTTGGTCATCACAAAAGAACTGACCAAGACAGATGAGGACTACAAAGCTAAGCAGGCACATGTGGAACTGGCAAACAGGTTCATAATTTTAGCTACAATAATGCAGAGATACTTTTTTCATTCAGCTTTGCATTTCTTGGCCAATTCTTTTTTTCATTCTGTGGTGTGATTAGAATGAAGAAAAGGGATGCTGGCTCTGCACCAAACTTGGGTGATCGAGTCCCTTATGTGATAATGGCAGCTTCCAAAGGCACAGCAGCTTACCTCAAGTCAGAAGTGAGTAGTTATGTAAAGTATGAAACTTTTTATACCATATGTTTTTCCTGTTTATTTGAGGTTAGGTCTCACAACTCATGTGTTTTTCTCTATAGCAGAGTGACTCCTTTCAGTCAGACATTGATCTACTAAGTAAAATCTTTGGTTCTTCCTGTGGGCAGCATGAACTTGAAGAATGAACTTAATTGTGTGTTTTAATGTGTTTTAACTTAATCGTGTGATTTTAAAAGTCTTGGCATCCTGCTGTAAGTGACTACAGGTACAGAATACTTAATGATTTACTTTCAGGATCCCATTTATGTCTTGGACAACAACATTCCCATCGATTTTGAATACTACCTACAAAATCAGTTGGCAAACCCTCTTCTCCGCATTTTTGAGCCTATACTAGGGGAGAAGGCTGAGTCCATCCTCTTACGTGAGTCTTGCCTGCTATCCAATGGTTTCCCTGCAGGGTGCTTCATTCCATGTTGCTATGATATAGTGATGTTATTTAGGTGGAGATCATACACGCACCAAGACTATGGTGACCTCAAAGGTAGGAGCCTTGGCTGCATTCACAAAGAAACGAGCCTCATGCATTGGATGTAAGGCCGTCCTCGATGGAAACACTGATGCCATCTGCAAGTATTGCAAACCTCGGGAAGCTGAAATCTATCAGAATGAAGTTGCTCAGCTGAATGCCTTGGAAGACAAGTTTGCTCAGCTCTGGACTCAGTGCCAGAGGTGTCAAGATTCCCTGCATGAAGATGTCATCTGCACTAAGTGAGTTCACCTTTCACATCCCTTTTTTTTTCCAAGGACTTGCAACACATGAGTCTCTCTGATTTTCCCCAGTCGGGACTGTCCAATTTTCTACATGCGGAAGAAAGTTCGGCAGGACTTGGAAGCCCAAGATGCTGTGATTCAACGATTTGGTTCCCCAGTCTGGTGATGAGGATCATTCTGCTGATGTCCTAAATTGTATTCATCATTTCAATTAGATTTTTCCTTGTATTGACTGTCATGAATGCCTTGCCAGGTTTTGTATTTAAAATAAAGTCGCACAAGACTTTGAAAATCTCATATTAATCATTTGAAATCACTTCTATCAATACATTTGAAAATAAAACTATTAGGCGAATCTTCATTCATCTCATCTGAAGCAGTGTCTGCTCCAGCCATGTCCAATAGAGAAAATCCACATATTGGCTTCTATCTACATTGAGGTCAAGTTTCCAAGTCTATATACTGAAGCAAAACAAGAGCAGGCCCATTACGCACTGCACTGCTAACCTTGCATAATGATGCGTCTTAAATGTATGATTGGGAACTCGCCTCCGTGTTTCTTCCTATCATATTTCTTCAGACCATGGTTCTGTGGTCCAGGATTTATTTTTTAACATAATTTATTCACGAGGACTGAAAACGAGCTTCAAGAAATCATAAGGTTGTATGTGATTGTGACCTTTTTGAGAGGGAATTAGCTTCTATGAATTCTGCTCGTGGAACTCGTCGGATCTCCCGCTTCCCGATAGTATCTTCAGATGCGCCAAACCAGACAATTTCTCGATCGTTTGCACGAAGACAAATGGGACGTACACCCCCCACAACTCCAAGGATGCCAGATGAGTAAAAGTTACCACTGTAGTTGAGGGAAGCAGATACCAATTAAAAATGAGTTTCCTTAAGTGAACACGATAGCAAACGGTCAAGTGGAAATTACGTCACTTCTTTACAGCATGGGTTAAGAGGTGAAGAACTTCAATTTGTGCGAGATTGGAGGCGGAGCTGACTGATTTAATTTATTTTACGTGTTTTTTTCATCTGCAAGAGGCATACTGCTGAGCCAACTAGTATTTTACTCGGCTCGGCTGTCTGAGTGAATCAGAAAATACTGCTGAATTTGACAAATCGTGCATTGAATTGCAAGCAGAAAATTGGCTACTATGAACAAGAATGAATGAGGTCGATGTTACGAACCAAAAGTATCGATAACCCTGTTTTGTTAATTGTTACATCTGTACAAATTAGGTCACATTTATGTAATTTTGAAGATAAATTGCGCTCCTTTCTTGATCGAATGCAAATTATTCCAAGGAAATACGGCTAATAGTTGATGTACAATAATTTCTTCACATGGCGAGGTAAAAAAAATCGCTGTGACGCGCGCATCATCCTGGGAGGCCCCGAAAACCTTCCCTACTTGTCATGCCTGCAGGAGGAATACAACACGAGATATGGACAGGAAATTTACTGGGTGTCACATCTAATATGAGGTGATTCCATGGAAATTTCGATGAATTCGTTCTTCAGAATCCGAGTAACTTCTTGTTTTTGTTTTTGCTAGATATTCTCTTGGCCTTGAGGTATTCCCACATTTTCGGGTTTCTGTCCTCTGGCTTCCCTGATAATTGGAAAAAGGCAACTGGAGAGATACTATTCATTCTTGATACGACAAATTCCATAAAGTTGGGAAACAAATTTCGGACATGCCTCTAAAGTGCCGTTACTGAAGACAGCTGGAAACTCCACGCACAGACTTAGTTCCAGAGAAGGGACTCCAGATTTTCCAAGCACGAGTGAAATCCAGTTATTTTTATCACGAGATCGCGTTCGTGTTTCGACTTCGATTGTGCCGGGAGATTCAGCAACCCTGCTAGAAAAAGCCTTGAACTGTGGCTATCTACTGTACAGTACAGGGGAAACCAACGAAAGACGAACTGTTTTTCCGTCTGATTATCACAACCTGCGTTTCTCAGAGCCCATAATGGTCAGCCTAGAGGTCGATCACGTTGTTTCGCCCCACTCCGAAACTACCTGTTTTCAAAGATCAAGTCACGACAGGAATAAATCTTCAGTGACGAAAAATAGGTGTACAGGTCTCCCCGAAACGCGACAGGCCGTAATCGCAGATGTTGCAACTTGACTCGAACGACTCCGCTTCGAGTCGAACGGATCCAAGACTCGAACGCGGAATTCCTCTCTCTCACCCCGTAATCTGTACAGTCGGCCGCAGCAGCCCTTCTGATTAATGTCTGCCGGATCTGTTCGCATGTTCTATGACCATCCGTTGCATTCACAGATTTAATCAAGGTTCTGTTATAAAAAGTTATTTAATTACTTAGTAATCAAAATCGGAGGTTAGTTGGTGACACTAAATATTGACCACCCTGTAGTATTTTACCTACTGGCCCGATGAGTCTGAAATGTGACAATTCCGGGTTTTGTGACTGGGGAACCCAGTATTCCGAATTTCATAAAAATCGGAAAGGGTTTGGCGTTAATTTGCAACTGTTTTTAATGACATTTTCTTGAAAGACCAATGTATGATAAGTAACTCCCTATTTTGAAATGCTTATAACTCTTTTATCTTTTAACGAAATTTAATTAAACAAACTGTGAATTATGCAACAGTTAATGGGGTTTTTGTTCGTCCACACTTCCACGTATGCTCCTTCATTGTCAACTCATTTCCTTAAGCAAACAGGTATGTTTCCCACTCTTGCTCGTAACACGTGTCGAGGAATGTTGTTAAGAACATTGTTGATTCTTTCTTCCATTTCATTAAGCAGCAAAATTTGCTTTCGGAAAGTTTCATGTATCTAGGCTGTCGGAATAAAACTTGACAGTTGTTCAAAGTGGAGTCAGTTCACAGCCCTAACTTACGCCTTGCGACTTCTTTTTGTGGGGCTGGGCTAAAGAAGGCGTTTATCGTACCCAGAAATCTTAATAAATTGGAAGAAAGAATCAGCAATGTTCTTAACAACTTACCTCGACACATGTTACGATCAAGAGTGGGAAACAGACCTGTTCGCTTAAGGAAATGTGCTGACAATGAAGGAGCACACGTGGAAGTGTGAAGTGTGGACGAATAAAACCCCATTAACTGTTGCATAATTCACAATTTGTTTCATTAAATATCGTTAAAAAAAAAGAGTTATAAGCATTTCAAAATAGGGAGTTACTTATCATACACCCTACAGACTACCGTATGCCGCAATACCCACAGCAACTTTTTCTTATATTTTTGCACTATCATGTTTCCGCAGTCTCCAACCAGCAGAAACAAGAAGCTGGAGACATCCATAAATTATGGTAATTATAGTAATTTAACCCTGCGATCTCTCTTCTTTTCCATCGAAAGAGAAGCTCTGAAGTCTCTTGTTGGAAGGCCGCACGCTGATTCGCTCCGAGCCACTCTCGTACATGCATAATAAACTAGGAGTCAAAGGTACTGTTCGACTCTCGCGTCAACCTGTGAATTCGCAGCGTTTAAACCGAACATGCGTTTACGCCTATGTCTTACGAGATGATCAGTCGAAACTGGTGGGATATTTTCCTACAATTAACATATTCTTGGAGAAACGCATACACTAAATTGTGATTGAACCCCGAGTTCTATAGAACAATTTTCATGGAAGTACCCTACAACCGCAACACTTCATATCCAATATCTGAGAGCGCTCCGATTTCATGCTCGCACTTACACTTACGATAAAAAATCTCATGGGAAATTGGCACTCCGGCATGTTTCATATAACAGGGCAACTACAGGGAGATTATTTCATTCATTAGAGAGCATGTCCTACAAGTAGCCGATACCTTTAGCCTAAGCGTTCGAGTCAAGATGCACATTCCTGAAGCGTTCTAGTTTCGTCGGTTTCCCCTATACCTTAAGTAGGCGCAAAAAAAAAAACGACCCTTTTGCGCAGGTGATTCGCCTTAGTTAGATCTGATTCCTGGATTGGCGCGATTGGTGCACCGCCCTTCCCGAAACTTTCCGAGCAATTTGCCCGGACAAAAATATCTGCATTTGAAGCTGGAAATATAGGGCTTGAAGAAAAAAGATCCAGGTTTTGAGTGTGAACGTTACGTATAAACTCGAAATTCCCCCCCACACCCCCCTCCATTCACAACGTAAACAAAGCCGCAGGGAATACAGTCGAGAGTCTCGAGAGATGTTCATGCCCGACTGCTCAATCGCCAGAGTTGCTGGATTCTCAACTCCCAACGAACGTCGAGCTCGGACAATCGGTGAATTCCCTGCAGTGACATTTCTGCGACATATTCTTTACGTTGAACGCCTCACGCAGTCCAAGTCGTAATCTAGAAGGCATCTCTCGTCCATTTTTTTAGTTCATTATTTTACTTCATAACAGCTTGTGAGATCCTCTCTTCTCTCTTCGTTTCCTTTCCACCGGCTATGCGGTTGTGAATCTCGCATCAGAAGCATGATTTTCAATCCACCCTGATTCGGCTAGATCATTCCCTCGAAACCCTTGTGTCTTTCGCATCGACCAAGTATCCTTTTCCTTCTTGCATCTTCCATAATTGTAATCCTCGTATATTGTACAGTCCTCGCTGGGACGATCCAATGCAAGCAGCGCAATACGAAGTAAAAGAGAGGGGGTCACGTCCCCTCGATTTACAGGATGGGGCAAAAGTTTGGTGACAGTTGAAAAACTATTTTTAACCATAATAACAGGGAAAAAGAATAAAATAAAATAATAAAATAATACATATTAACGAAGTGGCTAAGAAGGAGACAAACATAACTGCGTTCACAGAAATTTAACATGTAAAAAAAAATTTAATACATCGTAACATCTGTCACAAAACTTTTGCCGCACCCTGTAGTAACCCTGCGGTTCTGTCCTTTGCACGATGAGGTTTCAGATACTTTTTTTTTCGTTTTGGACTGTAGCCAGGAAAACATTGAGAGATAAAATAAAACTACGTTTTTGCCCTTGTGAGCCATGAACCCTTCCGTGTAAGTTCGAGCTCGCTTTAGTCCTTCGACATAATGTACGTTCGTCTCCATGTATTTTGATATTCAGAACACAATCTGAAAATCCTTCTTTCTTTTCTTTCTTGACCTGTCTCGTCATCAGGCCACGTGTAATTTTCATCCAGTACCATTTCATGCACTATGGTTTGAGTGCCAGAGAAATGCAAGGAAAAATATAAGTTAAAAAATGTTTTAAAGAAAATTGGCCGACATTTCCTAAAATTAAATTAGCAGACGTTTATGCAAATATGAAAACAGAGGGAAAGAGTACCATTAGATCGACTTGCGTCCTCGACTTTCGTCGCTTTTCGACATGAATGAGTGGTTGGACGCTGATGGAAAGAAAATATCCTGCTGCTCTGGGCCGATTTATTTCAGCAAGGAAGGAAGGCAATGTAACAGTTTGATTTCGGCTGTATCACGATGCGTTTTATAGATGACTCGCGTTCATGGCAACCAAGGGCATACCAACTCGATTCTGACCCCACGAAAGGAGAATCCACGGACTCGATGAGCAGAGGGCGAGCCTTGCCTCGAGGAATTCCCATCCAGACGGTGAAGACAAATGAGACAAATTTCCCTTCCCGACCTCAGCATAGAAAAGAACGACTTCGTTCAGGGTGGAATCTCTGCTCTGATCTGTCTGACAAAATGTTTTAGGTCTGGCGTGGGGTCTGTCTATGCGAAGCGGAGAGCCTTAGCATGAAAATTTACTATATTTCCGGATATTGCATTATTTAATCTCTTGTACCTGAAGGCATGAATGAATCAGATTTTTTTAAGGAACAAATTTGTCTTTATTTCAGATATTATTAGTAGCAATCTCATCGACATGATGGAAATTCAAACCCGGAAAGACTGAATAGGACTGCTGGAGTCGATGCCAGCATGGATTTTCCCATGCTGAGTGATTGTCTCAAATCGGCTTAGATGTGCAGAGATGTCAATCGTTCACATTTGAATGACGTTCTAAGCTGAACATTAAAATATACAGACTTTTCATTTTCAAGCAAGCCTTCAAATCGTGTCACATCCGAACACTTTCCTGTCACAACTAACACGGCCTTGCTTTTCTTTCCTATTGTTGTAAATACAGGATGACGCACTAATTTCAGACATTCGTTTCATCTATAGAATGAACATAATACTAAATTGATGGTTTCCCTTATATCTCAGAGTTTTCACCAAGAGAGCGAGTGAAGCACTATGCTGTGGACCGTGATTCTGAGGAAAACATGTGCAATTATTGCAGAAATCACTGGATAAGAGAAAAATAGTACTTGGAGGTGCACTTAAGCAGAGACCAAATTTGTAGCTCATTTTTATTCTTCTTCTGTTAAATTTAAAAAATAACAAGGAACCACCTGCATAGATACGAGGATATATCTTCAGATATATAGTTCATAAGATCTAACTTTTTTCACCACCCAATGAATGGACATGAAAAAAGTGTGCCTCGTGCGACCTTCACAAAATGCTGCTTTTCCTTCGTCGACAGCGAAAAAAAGAACATGTGCTGGGAGAGACCAATAAACAAGTCGCAAACACACACAAGGCGATATCAAATCCATAGCTGGGGAAGTTTAAAAAGATGTGGAATATATTTCATGCGCATGAGGATTTTATGCCCCAAAACAGGTCACTCGATAAATAAATAAATAAATTTAAGGTTATTTCAGCACAAACCAACCTCCAGGTAATCTCGTGTCTGGCCCGAGATACAAGGACTTCCATGACGTGAAGGCTGAGTGGGCCAGACCGAGCTGTGAGTCTGACGACACCCCCCTTCCATCGCCGTTCCTTATCTTCGATCTTACCCCCCCCCCCCCCCCCCCCCCCCCCCCCCCGATTTGTCACGGAAAGGCTGGTCTGTGAAAATGATCGCAACTGTCTGCGAGTCCTCGCCGAGATGGAATGTGGCCAACGGCATTCACACAGTGAGATGTGCTATGTTTACGCAGTCACGGGCAAAATCATTACCGTAGTAAGCCGCAGAGACACCTTTGACTCACCGATGGTCATTCACCTCTTCGTCTCGGCTCGGAGAGGTATCCTGTTTCACTTTCCCCTATTGCGTCGTTGCTTCTCCCTGGAAATGATGGAATATCCATATCCTCGGGCGGATTTCAAAACGACGTCATGAGTCGACCCTCCGCAACGACATTACGGGTTTACCGCATGGGGCAAAAAACTCGCCCGGTCTCACCTCTTCGTCGAGACGAGGAATGTTGTCAAGCCGTTTCGCGCAGAAAAACATAGGTTAGTGATCGCAATAACAGTTATGAAAACCTGATACACCTCTCATCCCCGCTCATCACGGCCGCGTTGAACGGCGCTGACATCTAGGAGACACGCCTGGCAGTTACTGCTTCTCCAGGCGACGAGCAGAGAGGAGACTGCTCCGTGTCACCTCTGGTGGTGCCAATGCGAATCGTCTCATTTGGCTTGCCATCCCGGCGCTCTTCCGTCGAGCCATGTTGACTGGGTTTCATAGTCGTTATTTGCTCGGGCTTGGATGAATCAGGGAAAGGGGAGAGACAGGAAGGCGAGAGAAAACGAGGTTATTTGAACTCATCAGAAGCGACGAGACGAAAGAATCGAACAGCCGCCATCACCGAGCATAACGGCAGGAGGGAGATCGAAGATAAGGAACGGCGATGGAAGGGGGGTGTCGTCAGACTCACAGCTCGGTCTGGCCCACTCAGCCTTCACGTCATGGAAGTCCTTGTATCTCGGGCCAGACACGAGATTACCTGGAGATTAGGAACCAGTCACGATCGACTCTTTCTCTTCTCGAAATTCGGAACCCGCTGTGCCCGTCAACATGAGAGACTTATATCTAGGATCACAGGGGCCGAACTTTCGAAAACATCGGGGGGAAGGGGAGGGTCCAGATGCCTATAATACGGGGACCGTGCATGTATGGGAAAGGGAAACCCATTGTCGCCATTGTCGAACCGACGGCAGAAGGAAAGGCGCAGTCTTCTCTTAATACGTGCTCAATGGGAGTTTTCCCACTGTCATCTGCAGCCCCATCAGCCCTGTGCCATGCATGCACTACATGCAGAACAAAGAGGAATGTATGCTGGAATCGATCGGAGAAATACAGATTTCGCATGCGACGAGTTACGGTGAATTGCGTCGCACGTGGGCCTCAGATCTAAATGCTGCAGGTATGATGGCATGAAAAATGCATTCTCTCGGTCCGAAGAAGATACATCATAGTACCTGTGGGCAGAGGCGTCCATGCGTGTTCGTTTGTCACGAATTCTCTTTTGCCTTGAGAAAGATGACCCAAATAACACGGGATGCTAAATTTTTTGGATCCTCGCATTCCACGGCCCGAAATGTACGACCCAAGTACGTGGTATATACATGGACCCAACGCGTAAAAAGTCCACACTAATCAGATACTGTATGGCATTTGGACCCCCCAGCCATTTCCAAGATGTCCTTGGAATCCCATTGTGGGATGCCAAGAACACGTGTGATATCGTGGAGGGAAATGGAAGGACACGTGCTCCTTTGGATTCTCTACGCCACCAAGATCGGAATAATCGTTGGAAACTCTATTTCAGAAGGACCGTTGAGAGTTGGCGGAAATCAGATAATTTCATCCGGTTCCTCCCAGCGGAAGTAGCTTTGATTGAAGTCACGGTCAAACGTGAATCAAAAAGGTGTTGCGGATGCACTTCATGGTAGCTTCCTCCTACCTGCCCTTTTGCCTTTCGCTGGATTCCCAGCATTCCAGGTTCCATTCGTGATGCAACGTTTTTGTCATCTCATGACTCAATCGCGAAAATCCTTGGAGTTCATGCCCTCTGGAGTTCACAGACCCAGCCAAAACGACAGAAAAATCTAATTTGTAAAGAAAAAATATCAAGCCATCTTTTTAAAGTTTTGCGCAACAAAAGCTGCGTTTATTGTCCCCATTTAAGATGTCATTGGCACGTTCGTTCTCAGTCGTGAAAGGCCACGATCGGAAGGTTCGCTCCAATTCCTGGATAATTTTTCTTTTACCCAAGCCAAAACCACCAGGTGAATCGAAAGAGTTGTATTGCGGTGAAGCAAACCGAGCGTCAGAAAATCGGAGTCGAGACTGGGACACAGAAAAGAGACAAAAGGCCGAATGCACGAGTTCCAAACTCGCGATGTCTCGTGTTGGTACGACACAGATGTCCATTTGGTCGAAGCCACGTTGACATCGTAGGTTATATTAATACAAGCATCACATCAGTAAAGCCCTGTGCATCCGCTCTGATGACTTAACTCTTTGAGTGAGGAAGGGTGCGCGCGTTTGCATCGCACGGCTGGGTTGAGGGCGACGTAAATTGAAAGCGGAGGATGAGGGGGGGACGAGAGGAGAAGCCAACTGGGGAAACGTGTTCAGTGCGTGCCTGACCCTCGTCCCGCTCGCTGCTCGCCTTCGCCCCTCGTGCTTTCCCGCCCCCTTTCTGCTTTGTTTTCGCTTCCACCCTGCTGCTTTTTTTGGGCGCTCGAATCCTGCGTTCCTTACCCCCCATTTGTGTATGACTGACAAGTGACGGCCGCACGCTGCTGTGGACTACTCACCATGAAGAAGAAAATCGTCTGTGCATGTGAGTTACCACATTCTCTGTGCTTGGATTCGTGAAATTTCTTTGCTTGTTTGCGATTTCCATTGTTAACTCCACTCTTTGTCGCGTTCTTCGAGAGCGCGGTAAATTTTCCTCCACCCCTTCAGAACCCATACCTATTAGACCATATGTTCATTCCCGTTCAAGCAAATCCTTGAGAAGGTTTTCCGCCTTTCAAATACCAGTAATGGAAGTGATTGCGCGATTTCGTCGAGACCTATCATCAACGTACTCGGAGAACCCGGAACACGATGGGAACAGAAACATTCGCGGCATTCTTAACAAAGAATTTCATATCTCGGACTTCCTTTATTTCATCAGTAGTTTTACTTCGGAAGCACATCACGTGTTGGAATCCAAAAACTTCACATCCGTGAAAGTATTTCAAGGCGACTAAGAAAGAGCAGAAAGACGGATGAGACTTTGCCTCTCCAAAAAAAATAACTACCATTTCCCCCCCCCCCCCCACCCTCTCAATATCTCTCCCCAGGCCATGTACCCACAACATAAGAGTTTTTCTGGAGTCAGCAATCTGACATTTATTTGTACATCAAGTTTCAGCCTCTCATTTTCCCCCCCCCCCCCCCCCCCCCCCCATCACTTTCAAGGTCTTTTTTTGGAAAACAGGCCCTGGAGGCAGAGCAGCCTATAGAATGGCTGGCCCCCTCCAAATCCCGGATCCATCGACGGGGGCCTTCGATCCCCCCCCCCCCCTCCCCGCGTTCAGCTGGTTAATGAAGAGTGGTATTATTACCACTACTGAGTCTGGAGTAGGGATTCCGCCGTAATAAACTGAGAAAGGAATCGTCGACGTCGTGTAAACCTCGCAATCGCTCTACCACCTCCGCCAGGAGAGAGATGAAAAAAGGAAAGTCTTGTGCAAGAAGAGAGAGCCAAGACCCCCTTCGGCTCTGGTCATCCATATTCCTCTCGTTCCCCCACTCTCTCTCTTCGCTTGTGTTTGTGCAACACGGCTCAGCGCCGTATTACATGACGCCATTGGCCCCTCGACATCTCATATTTCTGACCGAAGTGTATTCCAGGTGCCAGGCTCTGTCCGTCATCGGATACTAAGCTTCCGCCATTGGACTGTTTTCATTCTATGGGCATACAGTATTATACCCGTCACGAGGCCGCCCATACTTGTCATCTAGAGCTGGCAGGCGATCACGTGATATACTTCGCCACGTGGTTTATCAGGGGGAACAACCTCCCCGACGTCGCTTATCTTTTTGGATTTCACATCCACGTGTTGCCTGAGATGGTCTTGTTTGCTAAACCTGGAGTACACTCGAAAAACACGATCAAGCCATAAATACAATGCATTCAGACCCCCACGGCTTCCTGTTGGTAGCTGTTATTACATTTCCTATATTAAGGCGGAAGGTTTGGTAACCTTTCAGAGCAGGTGGGAAGGTCAGTTTCGTCACCCACAATTAGTGACACCAGTTTCGTGGAATCTGGAACCGATGACTGTTTCATAAGTGGGTTCTGTGTCTCTGGCACGCATGATTGCGTCATTCCCTTCCCAGTTCACAATTCAGGTTTTTTTTTAAACACCAAATGACCTACTCGATTGGTTCTACGTTTATGCATTTTCTTGCCTATTCATATGCTGAATTGCCACGCAGAGATTACGGAGAACATAATGGCCTTGGAGAGAGGAGGATGTGGTGGCTCTCGAGTCGTTTCCGGAGACATTGTCTCTCTTTTTGACTGGAATTTTGTGAGGTCGTGAGAGGTCAGGTATAAGGTTGTCGACCTGGTATTTACCCCCTGAGGGCAACAAAAGAGACCCTGGTGTGATAGGATCTATGGAACCCCGCTCGTTTGGGGCCATCCGAGGTGAAAGAACTCCCACGTATTGTACACAAGGGATTAGTGAATAGGGGACTTTAGGGTCGATGAACCGGGGTCATCAGGCAAAAGCCACACCTAGCAAATGCCTACGTGAGAGGATGGCCCATCTGTATGTATGATGATGGGTATTAAATGATCATATAGACGAACGCGTTACACGAATAGGAACAGTGATGCATACGGCATGGTACGAACGACCTTGTTGGTCTCTGAGGGGGAAAGTAAAGAAAGGAAGACGGGGCAAGGTTTCGAAAAGTAAAGGGAAACTGGTCCAGCTTTGATCGCGATAAAAGGGCACGAGCGCATCAGTGTATAATCCAAGGTAGAAGAAGAAAAATGACAAAAGGTCTCGTCCCTCCCAGCCGTATTCCTTTCCTGGTTCACAATGGAATTTTTCTCCCCCAATTTGTTCTTAAGAGAGTCCTCTATGGCGTTCTCTTTCTTCATCGTTTGATTCAGTCGTAAGACGGAGATGCAGGAGAAAGAAAGTGGGAAGAGTAACTCCACGAACACTGATTGCCGAAAGGGAAGGAAAATATGTTTCGCGAGTAATGCAAGGGTTTCGGCTGGAGAAAGTCTGATGGGCCAGGCCTGAGGTTTCTTTTCTCGAGGAAAGGAAACTCCACTTTCGCACACTTTGAGGAGGAAATCTTCCAATTTCATAACTTTTGTTCATTGTTCTACTTGGTGAAAGATCGGTTATGAGTCTGCTGCACCAAGGAAGAAAGAAGCAAGAGAAAGACGCTGCAATCCCGAGGAAGGTACTAGTATAAGGGAGAAAGGGGAGGGGGGAAAAAAACTCAACTTTTTATTTGGAATTTCCCTTCCGCGACCGGAGCACTTATTGACAGGGCATACAAGGTATCGCCGTCGGTGTTCTTCCCATCACATGGACTCCAGTCAGATTTCAAGGTGTGGTATCCATCCTTGGCCTCGAGGTTCAGACGTCCCCCATGTCTGGTGGATTTATTTTCCGTGCGCAGCCAGTCCGATTTCAGACGATGATTAAGCACTAAAGTATCTACGACAGCACTTCTTTTTCGTACAGTCCATTTGGAGGCTTCATAAGCATTGCGCAATGCTTCCCTTCCTACACAAGTTGCGATTGAAGGTCCCTTCTTCTCGAAGATACCATAGTCTCCTTTCATGTTTTGATGGACTGGATGTGATAACTTCCGAAAGTCGTCCTTGGAAAGTTAGTTGCAGTCTCGGTTCACTGTCTTCGGATTGCTAGCTGGAGCCGCACGTCAGTCTTCGAAAATGAGGGATGACGTTTTACGGAAGGCCTTTCCCGAGGGTAGCAATTCGTCGGGGGTAGCGGGAAATCGGATTGTTATCGAGATTTTCGAAATCCCAACCAGAGATTAGTCGAAACCATTGCGTAAATATCAATAGATCTTCCCCTCGGGCGCTCTCTTCCGTTTTTGGTCGCACGAGAAGAACCAGTGGAGAAAGGGTATAGTATAGAGGAGGAAAACCATGTGGTGGAAAGTGAAGATTCTCGTGGGCGATATGATAGGGATCATCGCGCCACGATTCCGTGCCTCCAGGAAGGGATGTCGCCGCCATCCGGGTTTCCCCCGCGACGCGGTATTTTCAAGTATCGGTTTCCCATTCGCCACGTCAGTCTCACTTTCAAAGCTCCGTGGCCAGCCATGCTCCAAGAAGGACTCTCTCCCTCGACGATATCTCGAAAGGGCAGTACAAGGAAAAGCCACGGTCATCTAAGCCTACGTAGAAAGTGTGAGAACTTTCCTGCCACCATTTCCCATTTCTTTCGTTGGCCGTTTCATCAAACCATGAACCTTCCATTTTCCTTTTTCGTTTCAAGTCAGGAGCATGTGTTTGTTGCAGAAGATCTTAATCTATCACTACAATAGCACAAATTGAAGCTGAAAAAATAGGACAATGGTGGAATCTAGAACAGGTTCTACAAGAAAAGGATGCGGACTGAACTTGCATGCCTGTTTCCATCATCTCTTTTATTGTCGTGCTAGGCACGAGTTAGATTCTTGCCAGCGAGGACTTACATGCAAGAATTTTCATTTTGCATCAAGGCCTTCAGAATCAGGTTTTCCTGCATTTCTCTATCTCTTATTTTATCTTCCCTCCCCCAGCGTTTGATAGCAAACACTCAGAAAACTTCCTCTTAAACCCCATATTGTAACATTTTTGTTCTTAAAAGGAACTAGCTTGCTTTCCAGAATATGGACATGACAGCGCATTACCATCGCTTTATACGCCATGTTATTCTACGACCTTGCGGTCTCCACAATAGTCCTTGTTTATTTTCTCCTACGAACTTGGGCGAACGCTGGATCTGAGGTTGTCATTCATACAATAGATGAGGGAAAGAAATGATTTTTCTGCTTACACTCCAGCTCTTCCGCAATCAACCTCACCCCCTTGGATATTCGCTCAAGATCCGGGAATGAGTCATATTTCGAGGAAGGTATCAAGGCTTGATTTTTCCATACATTCTCTGCGAGCATTACGCAAACTGTCCCATTCATTTTCTCTTCAATGTAGTACGAGTTTGATCATGGGAGATAATTTATTTCAAAGCCAGCCATAAAGGACTCGGCACAACCAGAAAGCGTTCCTTCTCACTACTTACTGCACTACCTAATTACCAAACTACGCGCTATTCAAGAAATCGAGAAACCTATTACTTTGATTTGCAGTCCATACTTAAGGAGGCAATTGAGAAAGTCTCATCTGCTTGAAATCTGCAGGGGTGCTTTTGCTTCCCTGGGGTTAAGAAGGGGGTTTCCGTGTCGCATTTCAGAAGGGGCAAAACAGTGACCAGTGCCACCCACAATGCAGGTAATATTGCCCGGGGCCGGCTTATTTTATTTATTTTTTCCTGCCCTCATCCACCATTTCCTGGGGAGTGGCCACCCTAGTCAACAACCGTCAGATGCATGGACACGTCCAAGTAGCCCACAACAGTAAGAAGGCAGATAAAAGCGTTTCCCCTCACACATTTGACTAGAAATATCACTTTCGGAATTCGTTGGGAAATTGAGTTTCGACTCTCCGGTATAGAGACTTCAGGAAATTCTTGGTCGAGTTCCCAGGATTCTTCTGTCATCCTTTCCCCTCGTCTTTCATTTGTCATCCTCGTTGTTTTCCTCGTCTCGAAATGTCTGGAGTTTTGGGGTGTGTTTACTAGGAAGGAAAAAGGGAAAAAAAAACTGCTGGTCATTAGACACCCGTGAAGGATTCTTTGGTAGCCCCCCAACTGACCTAAACGTCGTTTTTCCTCGCGAAACATGACCAGAGCCAAAAGTCTGGACAGGACTGAAGAAACAGTCATCTTCCGACTTGTAGGAATACTTCGTGTAAAAGAAGATGAAAAATGTTTTACATTCTAAATCGTCCGGACCAAGGAAGCCAAGTCATGGGGAAATGATGCGACTCATCCTGCTGGAATCCGAGGCACGAAAGGAGAACTGGAAAACTGTCGTCATGCCTTCATGATTCCATATGAAATATTGCTAAGGATGCATACATTTTTCACGAAATGAATTTCATCTATGCTTAAAAGTATTCGGTCTAAGATCGAAGGAGTGTATCCCGAGATCAGATTCCTGTTAAGTGAAATACCCGAATAAGAGCGCGGACGCTACTCATTAATTGCAATAGTCAAGTTTTTGCTCCGAATTCCTATCGTCCCGCGCAAGGATAAAGTATAATCGAATATGCATTACGGTGGTAAAGACTTACCGTATTTCGCCTAAGTTAATATACTCCGGACAAAAGAAATCCGTATGATGCTATTAATAAAGCGGTTATTGACTTTTATTGAAATACTGTTTGGAAGCAAGGGTCTTCTAATAGCGTTATCTCGGTGGGAAGTTCCCCCAGACAGGCGGAGGCGTTGAAAGGAACCTGGCTCTATCTCCCCTCCCTGGCCACAATGCTCTGTGAATTGGGGTTTCCCCCACCTTTTTTTTTTTTAATTCACAGAGGAAAAGTCCCATTGCGTTAAGTCGGCGCCTGCCTTCCCCCAACATTTAGTCGACGGTGCGCCATCTTCCTATAGTTACCAGAAAAGTAAATCCCGGAAATTGTGGCAACATACCAAGTCCTCAGGAAACATCCGCAATATGCGGAATTACGTCAAGTTATTATCTGATTGGAGGGTGAGGTTGAGCAATTATAGGATTCTTTATTATGACGAATTGATTTATGAGTACCCCCAGGGGTCATTATGCAGGATTGGGGGCGCATTGCCCAAGAGAAGATACAATGCTAACGACGAGATCGGTGACGTGCGAGGATGGAAAAACAACCTTGACCTTTGACCTCCGACGCTCAGCAGGCGACGACCACTTTCCCTTTCCCTGACCTTTAGGTTAAAACTCAAAGCAGTGGAACCTGTTACGCATAATTTCTGATGTGCATCAAAACTCGCAACCCTATCGACGCGGGTTATTATTTTTTTTCATTCCTGGAAGCACGTTTCCGGCTCTTTCTGAATGCATTAGGTAGTTAGTGCAAACGAACACCGGACAGGTGATGACATGGCGGATTCGGTAACTGTTTACTCATGTGAAAGTCCAGGGTTGACCTAGTTCCCTCCTCTGGCATATGCAAGGATGCCATTTTAAGGAAAAAGAAAACCTCCGCCATTAAAGGTGAGTCGTGAATTTTCTCCCAAAAGCGTGTCAGTGGAGATTGAGTAGTGAGATAATGAGATTCTCATGTCGCAATTCTTCAGTGTCCTGTTTTTCCTCTCACCATGTTTGGGATCCCCTAAGCTATTCAATACTTGCAACATACAGTATATTTTCCTACCGTCTGCATTGTACTTGATTTGTGGGCGAAGGCGAATTATCGCCCACATTCACCCGGGGGGGGGGGAATTAAATCCGAGGAAGCGGGATTCGGATGTCGGAAGTTATTAGTCTATTAAGAAACAGACTTCCTCTCCTTGCGTGTCGGCCCTGTACCTTGAGTACCGACCTTGAATACTTGGATGCAGATGCGTGGATGTGCCAGATACGGAGTAGAACTCTCGAAAAGGGAACAAAATGACACAAGGCAAAGACAGGAAGGGTTTCAATACCTGACACGATTGTGCAACGATCCAGGATACCTGTTTAATTGTCATTCGTCTCGCGTGATCGGAACTGGGTTCGATTCCAACCATCGCAACTGTTTCCCCCTCGACATTCTATTGGAATTTCTGTTGCATCGAATTCGAATATCACAAATGTGCATTGCTTCTTCACTTGTTTCATCCTGTTCCTTCCCGTCATGTTTTGTAGCATGTGTTGGGGCCATGGGTCTGCTGCTGCTGACTGGAGGCCTTCTCGTCGTGATATTCTTCAGCGACCTTGTCACCAAAGTCATTCACAGGGTAAGGAAAAGACAACGCTAGAAATTTATGAAGTTGAAATCCTCATAGGCATTCCGGAAATCTCTTGCATGAATGGCAGTAAATGCATCAGTGCTGGCTGTCCGCCTTTACCATTGATAAGCTATAATTTATGACTAGGCACGGCAGAGAGGACTAACACAGAAAGTAAAAGACAGAAAGAGAGAGAGAGAGTGGTCATGTTCATGAAAGAGAGGAGCTGTCCTCGCTCTCTTCGATGGCGTAAGAGCCCATGAGATGTGTGAACGCGGTGAATTTCTAAGAACTCATTTCACTTGTCAAGAGGGTCCATTAACCAAGTTCTTAGATGTCTGTCCCCTCAGGTAGCATTAACAGGCTCGAAATGCAATCATGTTCAAGAAGTCGCCTGTGCAAGGAGATTGTAAATAGAGGTTTGAACAGGGAAACCATGGAGTCCTCAATTGCAGTTCGTGATGCAATAGAAATCGTAAGTATAGGATCACACCTGAATCTTGGTTGGTGATATACAGCAGGGAAGAAAAAATTAATGGTTCCAGATGACTGAGTTGCACCACTAGCTGCTGGCTGTAGCGGGCTGCCGTGCCTTTTATTGAAATATGAATCTATTCAATGGGTCCTAATCTCTCTCCTGGGCGTTAAAACAAAGGGCGAACCAGACCAAGCCGATTTCGACAGAAGCAGCCAATTACAGACTGTGGTTAAAGCGTCGTAAATAACGGAAGAGGGCTTTCTGGGGCATTTCCCACGTTGAAGGACGCTCCCAACCACAAGGACGATGGAATCGAAAAAAAAAGCTCCTCGCGCCCTCAATCCTTTCTCCAGTACTTTCCATATCGTGAAGGTCCGGGTTGACCGGCCTCGGGTGTTAAGGATGAAGCACGTGCATGGTGGGGGAAGGAGGGAGGTCTCTCCCATTGTTTCTTCCAAGGGTCTCATGCGGCAAAGATCATCAACATGAATCAGCATTCCGAGTACAGTCATGGACTTCTGCGAAAAAAGCGCTTTCACCTCTTCCTTCCTCGGATTTTCTGTGTCGTTCTCCTGGATTGGATTGGATTGGAATAGTGATCGTGCTCGATGAACGTAGAAAGGGAGAATGGAATGAAACAGGGATGGGTCAAGGGAAGCGGGGCATTGCATCACAATTCTCCTCTCACACTCACGAAAGACAGCCTACATACTGCAGGTCCCAACAGGCCTGATTGGGGTTTCATAGCCCCAGGCTAGGGTTTCCCTTCCTATGGAGAAATATGTCTTCAGACTCAGCCCTCAGGGTTTGCATGCTTCTCAGGGGTGGTGAGAGGACTTACATCTAATTACTCCACTTGCCAGGTCAATCGACATGTAGGCCATCCTTGGGAAAAAAAAGAAAAAAAAGCCACATTATTAGTATTGGAATTCCTCTTCATAGGAAGACAAGTTTTCGCCAGAAAGCAAACAATGAGTCGACCTCCCATTTTTCTCTGAGATGGTCTCATCTGTATGCATTGCTTTGTATACACTGTGTCTGTCCTACCCTCTTCTCCATCTATAGAAACACCCATTATGATTGCGTTTTTTCTTCGTCCTCTCGGGACAGGAGAAAGGAGGGAATGAAGGATGGGAAAGAACGCCATTTGCTTGGGTTTTCGTTTTTAAAAAGTCTGTTTAAGAAACTGCGTCTAAGGAGGGTTTGATTAAAGTTGACATTTAGCGATGAATGGAGCCACGAAGCGGTAGGCCTGCATGCGGGTGGGACGCCATTCGCCCTTGTGGAAAATTCTTGGTTGGAATCATTATCGCGTCAGAATGATATATAGAGGGATAGACTGGAACTGACCGCAACATACGTGGGGGTCTTTGAAGAATACAAAGTCAAGGTCATCCTTTAAGATCTGCCCCGGGTACTTCGTTCCTCTTGCACGAGGGCGCCAGTCATACGAAGAAAGAAACTCCCCAACTGCCTGAAGCATTTCCTCTAGCGCTGCGTATATGCGAAAGGCGATGGTGTACTCAACGACTTTGCATGGATGTGTAGATGGTGGATGGTAGGTATATATATGTACTAGCAGCCCATTAGACGGCCGCTACGTGACCATCTAATGGGGGGAAATTTGTGAGTGGATTTGTGGAAATACGGATGAGTGACAACCATTCACCACCGCTTTCAGTCTTTCAATTTTTATGGCTTAACCTATGGCCCAGAATGGCAGAGCCTTGTAGGCCTCGCGCGTAAGTGGCGACAGGCGCCATAACTTTCGGCTCCTTTCAATTTTAAGTATTAGATATTATTTTTTTTTTAAATACGCAGGGTGGATTTTTGAACAGAACTATCCGATAATGCAGCTTTATTCCAGGGAAAGTAGATGTTATTTCCTGGAAGTAAAGTAGCGTTATCGGATAGTTTTCTTCAAAAATCCATCCCATTTTCTCCTTCACGCATTTCGAGAAACAATCTCTTTCTCTCCAGAACTCTAGGAACATATTTCAGTGTTGACTTGGGTTATTTTATGTTCATTGGTAGGAGTTGGCTTTTCGGAACGGGAGTGAGTCATTCGAAAACTGGCGAGCCCCACCTGTGGAGCCGGTGAATTCTGTGTATTTCTTCAACGTGACGAACGGAGAGGCCGTTATGGCCAACGGCTCCATGCCAATCCTGCAAGAAGTCGGACCCTACGTATACAGGTACGTGTCCTTTGCTCCTTACAGCGTCGAATTCCCGACACACCATTTGGGGAGAGGAAAGAGTTAGTTAGGCGTTTGTCAATGTTTTCCATGACGTGCCGCGGGGCAAGTGAAGCCTACGCCTGGTTCATTCATCACAACCCTGCTCTGTCTACTGCCAATGACTTTCCTTTTCACTATGGCATCATTCCCATGGCGCAATCAGTCTCCCTCTCTTTCTCTCGATTTTCCTCTCTCCTCAGATGACATCTTATTACTCTTCATCTGCCCACCTTCGATTCAGGGAATATGCAGATGCTGGAATAATCGTTCAAAATTTATATTTTTGTATTATTGTCTCCTTCAAATTCGCAGGCAGACGCTGGAGAAGTATGTGGTTTCATGGCACAACAACAACACCCTGACTTACCAGCCAGGTTCCAATATGTCTTTCGCCCCGGAACTCTCATCAGGAAGTGAGGATGATGTCATCGTCTCCCTCAACGTTCCCATGATGGTAATAAGCTTCGTCTGCCTCTACTCCCGTGCAAATATTGACTGTAAGAGGGACTCGAGTAAGATAATTGATGGATTGTTTGGGACTCCCTTGTGAGCCACATAAACACAGGACAGGTCGGACGCCCTCTGATAAGCCAGACATTTTCTCTCTCCCTCCTGTCAAAACCAAACTTGAATCCTGCCTCGTGTTTTCTAACTCCGCAGGGTGCAAGATAGGAAATAGTGCTTGTCTCCCTTGGTTGCACTTCCTGGGTGCGTTTGAGCGCCGATAAAGCCAGCTTCCCTGCCCCTGCCCCCCACCCTCCACTACCCATCCCCTCATGCCTTAACGCTCTTCGAGTCATTTGAAGCAGCACATCTCCCCCCTCTTTCCCCAAATGGCACATTTCTCCTTTCCCCTCTTTCCCCATGTGGAGGAATGCCTAAAGTTCCTTCACCCTCCTGAAGTAAACCAATCGATCTTTCTTCGGTCCCTCCTACTTATACACAATATGTTTGTACTGAATGCCTCCGTGCGCTGTCAACTGGGATCGTTTCCCCTTGAGGGAAGCATCTGCCTCCACTCTGTGCTGGAAACGTAAATAACTTCTTTATGAACTTTTTTTTTTGGGGGGGGGGGGGGCGGGGGTTGCAGAGTTATTTCTAACGACGAGGAAAGGGGAAAGAAACGTTCACAGAGAACTACTGTAATTGTTTTGTTAGTTACAGGTACTAGAAGAATCCTGTGCCTAGAAGGCACAGGATTCTTCTAGGAGGGCAAAAGTAGGACAAAAGGCAGATTTTTTTCCTCGATTAAATTTGATGCTAATCTCATTATGACAATAATGACTATCAAGTCTATGCTTCTGTCTTTAATACTTCGTAATTCATATGTTGTTTTATTCCACGAGAAAAGTGGTAACCAGTAAACAGCAACGTGTGCTACCTAGTAGCATATGTTGTTGCTTCAGCATCTATGTTAGGTGGTAGGAACAGACCATTTTTTATTACTTTCTCAATATTCATAGTTTTTCTCCCTCTTCTAAATAAAGAAAAAGATATCGACGACAGCCCTTTTCTTTTATTAAGTGATGATGTATTTTTATGCAGTCAGCAGTATATCGGATGCAGCATGGGTCGAGGATCATGCGATTGGCCCTGTCCAGCATGTTCACCAAGATTCTTAAGGTCAAGCCCTTGATGAACTACACGGTGAGAGACCTCATCTGGGGGTACGAAGATCCTTTGATCAAATTGGCGAAGGACATCATGCCCCCCGGGGAAAGCCCAGACCTGGAAAAATTCGGCTACTTCGTCACGGTATGTGATTCTTATATTTATGGTGACTTCCGCAATAGGATGTGAATCGTAAAATTTGTGTGAAATTTTACAACTCAATACAAAAACGTCAAAAGCTCCCTAGTATTTGAGACTATCCTGGTTATCTAAATATGGAACACATTTGAATGTGTCGTTGCTATTTCATATCCCATGAATCCTGCATGAAGGTCTCAGGGAGGATCATGTAATCTCTGCTTATAAGATAAATGCCTGTTTCGGGAGACCTTGCTACTGCTATGTCGCGTCTCTTTTGCAAGGTTTCGAGGCACAGCAGCCAATCCCGCCTGTCGTCGGCGACATTACGACGTTGTTGGCTTCTCGGGAGTCGTAAACACGATCGCAGGGGAGAAGAGAAAGAAAGGAAAATGACCATAGGGCATGGGGGTGGGGGAGTGGAAAGGGAAGGGAGAACTATAGCAAACAGAACCCACGAAAGGGGACTTGGGGACAAAGAACCTTTTCCCCTCCTCCCACCGCCTCCACCAGCATGACTGACCCCGACACACCCACTGTGGCACTCCCCCTTCTCGTATCCTCGTGTTTTTTCGTCCTTGACCTTAAGTCACTACTGGTCATCCGTTACTTTCTAAGCTTTCCCTTGCCTCCGTTGCTTTCGAAGCGTTCATTTGCCTTTTTTCGCAGGAAGAAGTTCATATGTACCAGTGATTTCCTCCCTGACATGGGCAACAAATAGTAAACTCGAATGAAACGTCTAATTTTTACTTGGAATCGGATGCCTTTCTTCGTTTAAATCATGGATGGATCTTCTTTGCAGAGATTGGGTCGTCAGAAGGTCAACATGACTGTGTACACCGGAGTCGATAACATCTACAAGCGGGCGACGTACGACAACGTGAATGGAGCAAGGGACATACCATTTTGGCGAGAGGAGGGATCCTGCAAAGCATTCCGAGGCACGGACGGATCCGTTTTCTCGCCCGATTTCACCCAATCCGATACAGTTTGGATCTATCTCAGCGACATGTGCCGGAGTCTTCCGTTGGTCTTCGAGAAAGAGATAGAGCGGGAGGGCGTGAGCACCTTTCGATTCACCCCACCCGAGAGTGCATTCGGGGATCCGGACACCTACCCTGAGAATCGTTGTTACTGCCTCACCTCCCCTAAATGCCCACCTAAAGGGGTCTTCAACATCAGCGTTTGTCAGTTCGGTGAGTTTCCCGCCCGAGTCCGTGACCTCAAAAGTCATAGGCAAAGGAAGAAAGGAAGGAAAAGAAACGCTCAAAAGTCACTTGAGAACGGATGAAATACGGTAGATGTCCCTTTCACTTTCCGTCTTGATTCAGTGAACTAGGACATTATTCCTTCCCCCTTGTGATGGATTCAACCAACCCTCTAGCAATGGTATAACGTGCCAAAAATTTTACGATAGTGAAAGGCCCAACAGGATTATAAGAGTGTGGGAGCCGATCTGGATATCAGTTGCGACACTTCATATATGTTCGCTCCTTGATATTGGGTGCAATAGATGAAGAGTTAGTCTCATTGCCCGTAATCGTTTTCATTAATTGCTGTAGTGCATACTTGAAGTCAGCGTCTATATAAATAATTCATATTTTCAGCATGGCATTTTAATGTCATCAATATCACTCTTACATGGCATTCGAAGCACAAGGAATTAGAGAATGTTAACCTTATTAGCATATTTAGTGTTAATGCTGCTGACTCCAATGAGGTTGCCATAATTAAATATAGGTCTTACTTCGACTAGAATACTCGAAACTCTGTCGCCTGTTGAATAATATCATTCGATTTATTTCACATTCATGGCCTCGTAGCATTAAGGTCCAGAGAACATGCATGCCCCGAGGAGATACCATATCATTTTCCTAGGTCGGTTGTCGTTGTGTTTTTCCGTATTCTCCGAGGGCATAGTGGCCAGACTCATTTTTCTCCCATCTGGGCCAGTCTAGGTCATAGGTTCGCCCGAGGCAAAATGTGAGTCAGGGTCAAGGAATATGTTCTCTTCATTCTTCAGCCGGAAGTTGTCTGGGAATCTCTTCTGTTCTTGACTATACTTCTATAGTTAACTATATTACTTCTATATTTCACCATTAGACCTAGAACAATTACCACGTGATGTATTCATGGATGTTCTTCTACCCCATGAAGGTTCTCCGGTGATGCTGTCATGGCCACATTTTTATATGGGAGATCCCCGGCTACGTGAGGTCGTGAAAGGACTTTCACCCGACAAGGAAAAACATCAATTCTACTTTGACATTAATCCGGTCTGTCACATGCTCAAGACTGACCGATGCCTATCTTGTACTGGGCTTCACAGATTTCTCAATGTGATTATGTTGTATGTACCAATTTGCAGAAGCTTGGTGTGGCGATGCAGGTGATGGCCAGATTCCAGATCAATTTGGCTACTGTGGGATTGTGGGACATTGAACCTACTCGATACATGCCCAACATCACCTTCCCTGTCCTTTGGATGCAAACTGTAAGCAAATCGAAAGCAATCATAACACTCAACATCGATTCATGTAAAGTTCTTGATAGCAAGTGAAGCAGTCTTTCTACTTATAAAACCATTTTGTGCAGATACTTTTCTATTGAAGGTCTCTCAACTGCTCCACTGAGGGCTAAACATCTATTTTAGCAAAGTTGCCACAACAGAGAGCAGAAGTTATGCTGAAGTTTTTCTTCTTAATGGCAGGGAATCCAGAAATTGCCAGATCACCTGCTAGATGTTGTCCACCAGGCAGTTCATACCCCTGAAATTGCCGAAGCTGCCATGAGTTATGGGTTGTTCATCTTGGGTGCTGTCCTCATCTTTGCCATGGGTGCCTATGTGATCAAGAGAAAGCTGACCATCTGGAAGAAGACCAGAGCTGTGAGCCCAACTAAGGCAGAAATGAATGGAAAGTCTGAGACCAACGGCCACTCAACAGACCTCCCTGAGACCATAGTGAAGAATGGGAAGAAAGTGGCAGAGAATGGGTCAAAAGATGTTGCTGTGTAGTTTCCTGCTCAATTTGGACAAGTGGTTCCAAGAAGAAGCCTCTGTGATAACGGTTGGACACTGGTTAGATGTGTCGCAGGACCAAAGCTTCCCTGGATCAGTATTGTCTACAATTCAGCATGCAGCCTACCTTTCGGCTTTGATGGACAAATGATTGGGGAAGTCACAACTGTTGTGCCAATTTACCTATCCTGGGAAATATTTCCATGAGTTGTTGAACTTTTTTTTCCACATCTCATGACAGTGTGACTTGACTAAACTTTGACATTGTGATAGATTGTCTCCCTGTTGTGTGAGGCTCCTGAGAGGAGCAATCTCGGAGCAGACTCTATTTCTACATTGGGGAAAAACATAATCCAGGGTTCCTCTACGAGTGCTTCCTTGTGTGCATCATCTTTTTGAGTGTTCATCCCATGTCAGGATGTAAACCCAATTCTTTTATTTTTTTTTAAAACTTACTTTATCGCTCAGTGACGTCAGAGTGCCAAATTTATAACCGTGTTGTGGAATTGGTAATGAATGCTGACAGTGGATCATCAAGTTCGTTGTGACTAGGTAGACATGATTTTTGCAACTGTTCGATGGTCAGTTACCCCATGACTGTTGATACTTTCTTGAGTGCCTGCAGCTTCCTCATTGAATTAAATTGATCTCATATCGAGTCACTCGGTAGATGCAAGAGGGTTTGCTGAGTTCTCCTGTGCGGTGTGAACTCGAATATTTGTTTTTGCTATGCCTGTGATGTAAATTTCATGGCTGCAAAATATAAAGTCCACTTTTCTCCTAGTGAAGGGGTCCCGATTCCTTTCCTCAAACCTCAACCGAGAGTATTCCAACATTCCCTGCTATTGGTAATGTCATGTGCCCTACAAATGAGGAAGGAAGTTATTCACCTTGTGGTATTAGCAGGGGGGGGGAGACCTCTAGGTCTCACTCAAGGCCCCCTCGTGTCCTGGAGCAATACTTCCGCCCCTATAGGCACCGACTTAAAAAATCTATTGAAGGGGGGAGGGGACCAAGGGCCCTCGCCCTTCTACCCCATACTCATTCGTGGCGATGGGGATCTCCTAGTTGGAGCTCTAAACAGAAAAACCTTATTTTATTCTTTCGTGAAACAGCATTTTGTTTCTCATATTCCAAGTGCCATACTAATGCTGTACTTTCTATTATTTGCCCCATGGGTTCGGAGCCTATACCGCCCCCCGCTCCTCATTCTCATGATTCCCTGCTCTCCGCGTTGCTCGTCATTCAATAGCCTGAAGACTGAGCTTTCTCCCTCCTAAATTCTGTCTATGCAAAACTGCACTCACTTAACATCCTTCAAGAACTGAGAGAAAAATGCCTCATCCCTTTATAAACCTGGACATGTGTGAGTTACAGAAGATGATATGAAAGCTGAAGAAACGGACGCATACACTGGATCCCGTGTATTTTAGTTCAAGGTCTGTCACCATGAGAGAGTCTCTCATTGATGTCTCTGATGACGCGGGGAAGATCCAGGACAGAGTCGATGACGAAATGAGCCCCAGCCCCATACAGGATCCCATAGGCCCGCTCCAGTCTCTGGTTTAATTCTCTGCTGTCAATCTTCTCCAGGTCCTCTTCTGATGCAGCCACATAGTTTCCCTGTAAACGAAATGGAGTGACAGGTCTGCAGTCTGGAGATGAGTATGTGGGTGATAGGATAGTTAATTTTTATTTCTACTTCCTGACCGTTTTGGCGATTCCGACGGTCCAACAGCCTGCAGCCAATCCTTCCTTGATCCCTTCCGTTGTATCGTCGACCTGCGGATTATACGGGCAACTGGGATTTATTCACAGCATAAAAATCATAGACGAAGGGTGAGGTGACATGCACCAAACCTATTAACTTCAAATTAATCTGATTTCATAATGGTCCCCTATAGGAATAACTTTGGTGGAGTTAATCTTATCCCAATTGACGTCCACAATGAAATCGAATTGAAACGGATCTTGTTTCTGCTGTAAAGTACCTTGATGATGGCTTCCATGGGTTGAACTTGCAGCCTTAGTGCGTTGAGATATATCATGTATGGCTTGGGTCTTCCTTCTGGTACTTCATCAGACATGACGATGGCGTCTGGCTTGAATCCTTCAGCTTCCGCCTTCACCTATGACACGTAAGGAATTTCTTTTTTACCTTCATACTTTCCTTAGCTTACCATGATTGGAGGTATCGGTCCCTGCTTCACCTTTAGGTTGTTCATGATGGGATGTGTATAACCAGTGCAAGATCCTATTTTCACCCCGAACTCGCTGCGCAGCCTTCCCAATAGTTGGGGAACTCCTGGACGTAAATGAAGGAAAAACTTCAACCATGTTTAACCTCACCTGTCGTATTTAATGGGAAGCGAAATGGAACAATGAGATGACTTTAGATGACGGACCATGGATAACGTGGGACTGCCTGGCAATGCTCTCGACGTTTTTCGGAATGAACTTTTCATATATGCGATCCACGTCTTGGAAAGTAGGCACAGTGCCCTTCTTCGCTCGCCACCGCTCTTTCACGCCATTCATGGAAAGTATTTTTTCGATGTGCACCTATGGACAAGTCATAAATAACTAGAACCCCACATGTCCTAAGCAAAAAACAGCCCTTCCGAATCCGGCCCTGACCTTCTTATGCACACCCATGGGTTCTCTAGCCTCATGGTCGGAAATAGGAACGCCTTCCTCTTCGAAAAGTTCCTTGAACCCTTCCGTCGGGCCAAACACACCGCAATCAACCACAGTACCTAAAATCGAAGTGCTTAAGCGACGGTTTCATGAGCAAGCTGACATTATTGGCTCACCTGCCCAGTCGAAAATGACGGCTCGGACTGGTCCCACATACCTCCGGATGAATCTATAGTCAAACCCCTTTTTTGCTGGCGCCTCTCCACTTCCAAAGGGTTCCATGGTAAAGGAGAGTGCGTATAGGGGAGAAGGAGTCGAGGGCTGATGTGATATCACAGCAAGTGCACGACTGGGAGAGGAATCAACATAAACACTGCCGAGTCAGGAACAACTTTCAAACGCCCTTGCCTTCTTCCATGTGAGTGGCTTTGGCCGAACACATCATCGCGACCTTCCTCTAGTCCATGATGATTCCTGAGGTTTCCTATGTCGTTGGGTATCCCTTCGGCAAGAAGGAAGAAAATGCCACTCTCCTCCCCACCCCCAGACTTGCCTTGCGCATATTTCGAATTGGATGACGGCGTTGACGAAGCGACTTTTCAGATATACTTGAACATCATGATAGAATGTTAAGTGCCGTTTAAAAAAAATCATGCGAAACTTAGGAAGAGAAGTAAAATGAGATATTGTAAAGTGCAACGCGATAAGAGCAGCGTATCGCGAATTAGAAGAGAAATCAAGGAGCAGGGTAGGGGCGTCTTCGATCCCGGCTCTTCAGTAGTGGAATATGGCGGGCATGTGTGTGTGTGCGTGTGTGAGTAGGGGGGCATGTCACAGCTACCCCTCTGTCTTTGTTCAGGTCATATTCCATGAATTTCATGACGTTCTTATCTACAGACGCGTTATCAGCTTTTCACGATCTTCTGCCTTTAACCTTACGTCTGAAAGGAAAACTGTTGCAGCAGACCCGTTTGTGCTGTGGCCAAGCGGACCTGTCCCCAATGCATATAATAGATCTAACATTAGGGCCCAGGCCTAGACCTGGCCTCGAACTTGAGGGTTGAACTTGTGTCTAGCCGTATATGTGTAGTCCAAGCCTTAAGTCAATTCCTTGGCCTAACGCTCAGAGCCGTTGGAGTGTTTTTAGTCCTACTAACCATCGTGAATGATTATGAGAAAGACCTCTTAATGATTGGTTTCTTGTATCTGCCGTTGCGAGTCTGAAATTAACTCTAGTTCTCTATTTCTCTAATGCATGGTACATTTTTGGCACACTTTTTGTCATAATGGGCTGCAATGTATGATCCTATGATGAGTGTGGTAGGTTTTTCCAGTTTGATGGCAGCAAGAGAACGAGAGGTAACCAACTCAAGTTGCGCAAATCGCAGGTGCGGCTCAGGCCGAGACAGGAATTCATTTATGCATAGCTCTTGTTGGCAAGTAGCAAAATTAGAGTCTCAAGTAATATGCCTGATATACAAATCTGAGATGGGCTGAGCAGGGTTAGAACAATATAACTAGAGTTAATTTCAGACTCGCAACGGCAGATACAAGAAACCAATCATTAAGAGGTCTTTCTCATAATCATTCACGATGGTTAGTAGGACTAAAAACACTCCAACGGCTCTGAGCGTTAGGCCTACCCTAAAATTAAGGAACGCTCGACCTCGACACACAATATCGAAATGGGTGAAATCGCCTCTTGATGTCACTAACTATCTTGAATCCTACTGCACTTGTGGAGTGGAGCCAGATATGGGGAATCTGGGTGATTAGGCAGGATCATGCAACATCAATAAAAAATTCACCTGATGTTGAGTTGCATATTGTCATCATTATAAAATCCTATTGTAATACTCATGCTTGTGTATAAGCATATATTGTTCTAACCCTGCTCAGCCCATCTCAGATTTGTATATCAGGCATATTACTTGAGACTCTAATTTTGCTACTTGCCAACAAGAGCTATGCATAAATGAAAGCAGGAACACAATGAAATGATATGATCCACCATCAAGTTTAGCTAGTTATTGTTCATGCATTATGGAGAAGAGTTGAAACTGGCACAAAGATCTCTGTTTGGAAACCATGAGGATACTTTCTTGTATGGAGGATGGCTCTGACTAATCCAATTCCTTGCTGTTTGTTTTCACACCTCTTCCAGCTGTCCTGCCATCCTTCTCATCCTATGTGCACAACAACCAATGCTGGGTTCCACCCCTGCTTCATTTTCTTGCTTTGCTTTTCTTTCCCTACTCCCACATTCCTTGAGTCTGATAGTTCTGTTTAACAAATGAAAACATTATTATTGTTTTGTAGCATATATTATTTTGGCACAGAAGACAGGCTGAAGTTTGAGGAGAGAAATAGTGAGATTGTGTGCAATTTTTATGATGTCCATTCTTCTAGTTTGGAAGGTGATGTAGGAATCACATGAAGTTCAAAGGGAACATAGTATGAAAGAGAAATTTGTTTCTGAGGTCATATAAATTTTATGAATTTTTAGTAAGTAAAAGTGAGAGCAGGCCACAATAAAAAGAGGTAAGAGTGAAGCAAGTCAGAGCAGTGCATTAAGCAATAGAGCAAGTAAAAGTGATCCATAAGTAAAACCAAATAAAATGAACAAGTAAGAAGGTAGTAATGTCAGAAGAAAGTTGCAAGAAGAAAAAACTAATGCAAAAAAATGAAGCAATGAAAATTTTATTTCATTCATCCATATTGATGCTGGGCTTTATTTCTTTTTGGAAATTTACCGTGGATCCACCCAGTATTTCCATATGTGAAATTTCCTCATGGAATGACCCACCATGTTTTTTTGTCTTCCAACATTTTAGGGAATATTTGCAGTTTAAACTGCAGACATTCAGATTTCTTTATATAACTAGATTTCTCTACTTGATAATGTGCTATCATTTAAGTACCTGTTCATTTATATTAGCAAAGTTGTTGGACCTCAGTTTCTGTACTGCATACTGAATCATATTTATTAAAGGTTTTTTTTATTATGAAACTGCAGAATTTGTCTCTGAAATTCATTATTATGTCAGCGTGGGGACTTCCTTCTTGGAACAGGGACTAGCTGCTATTTTGGGAAACATTCTCAACTTTTCAATATTTATCTTTATTTCATAGTTGTTCATAGGAGTTCACTATTAAAGCTTCCCAGAAGAGTGATGTCCTTTTGTGTTTATTTGTGGCAATGTTCATTTCTTGGCAGTATCACTGAGAAGGACAAGACACTCTTTTGATTTTGATTAGAAGTTCAATGATATTGAATATTGACTGACATCCAATATACTGATATTCCAATATTAAATGAAATCACAGAAAGCAAGAGATCCAGCAATTTCCATAAGGTATACAATTAAAAAAGGACTTACAATGCTCCTGGAATATTTGTCACAGGAAATAAAATCAAAACCTCTGATAAGAAAATGCTATTGAGGAGCAAATGAGGTTCATGAGAATGGAAAAGGGGGTAGGCCTCAAGAACATAGTTTATTATGTCAATTGTGTCAACCTTCCATTGTTTCCAATTTTTTTTCTTGCCAACCCCTTATACATGGCAGGTTGATGACTTGGAATGCAGGAAATTGTGCATCTTGTGCCCCCCGTTTTGGAATGCTTTGTTATGTGTACAGAAACTAAACTTAAGCTCCACCCGCTTTTATTCTCAGTCTTGTTTCTGTCCCAATCCTGATTCCACAAACTTCTATATCTTACACTTGCCTATGGACCTTCCCAAATGCATTTTTCACACTGTAGCCTCTTCCCTTCATCCCTGCTTTGTCACTCAGTGGAGCCATTCATTCCTGCTTGTAACACTTGAAAGTCTCACTTCTGAGATTGGCAATGGCAGTCTGAATGAATTCCAAACTCTTTCTCCCTCTCTATATCCACACTGTTACATGCATGTCCCTGTGCATCAAGCTTGCCAAAGCAAATATTGGTGGCTGCTCATGAAGTCCCACAGCCTACAAGTGGATTTACCACATGGCAGTTTCCAAGTTTTGGAAGAACTTGGAAGAAATTATTTCTGTATCCATGCTGCTATTAGGAAATATACACTTAAGTTGCTCAAGGCTCATTAGTTTCAGGGTCATGAGTCAAAGAATTGCATGTGTATGACTTTCTGGAAATAATTCTATGCCCATGCTTGATGTCTGCTGTGTGTGATTCTCATTACAGATGACTGCTTTTTTGACCATACCTGATCACTGTATCAATTGAATATATGATAAGTTCTTGCAGCACTCTTGATAGGCCATTCCAGCATTAGATAGGGTCTACTAGAAGTCATACTAAGATTGGCCTCAGCCTAACTCGAGGAGGAAAGAATGTTCTTTGACCACAATTTCACTGCGTCCCACATTGACAGCCTGCTGCAGAGTGAGGTGAGTAATTTTATTTATTGGAAGAGTCTTTGCCTTGCCATCTTTAAGGTTTGGTCTTACTGTCAAGATAACATGATAAAGCCCTAGGTCCAATTCTGGGCCTACAGTTGGAATTAACGTTTCCCAAGTTTAATTTTAAATGGGGCCTGATAAAAGGATGAAGGAGATTCAGGGAACTAATGTAATGAATGGGATGTTTTCATTTTCTATAGAATGTCACCCTGCAGGAGTTGATGGATGAAGATGATATCATCCAGGAGTGCAAGACTCAAAATGCCAAACTCATTGACTTGTGAGTTGCTACCATACAAGTGCAGTTTCTTGTACAGTCTACCTTTAACATCTCTGGTTCATTTGCAATGCATATGTATGTTCTGTTTCAAAATATTTTGCTAAAGCAGCTGTAATATTAATGACTTTATCGAGGTCAGTCTTATTCAGACATTTCTGGCAAAAACAAAATCACGTAAGTACTTCATTTCAGGCCTTGAGCTTGCTCTGAAAGTCATTGCTTGGGGGGAAGAAAGTAGTCAAAAGTAGTCTAGGAAGACCAGTAGCAAAAGTGGGAAATCCAGACAGGATGGGACTGTAAATGGCCCCCTTCCCTCCCTGGAAAGACCTAAAGATAAAGGATCTTCATTAATATGTAGTCTCTGACTCAATCAAAGGCTGGCTGATAGGTTGGTGGAAAATATATCAAATCTGTTAGTGGTTATACAAACTTGAAAGTGTTGTTTTTGAGCATATCTATAAACACTGATCTTATCACCATTTTCAATATCATTTGGAGAGAAAAAGTTGAAAAGATATGAAGGTCCATGTGTACCATAATTGTGCCAGTTGCCCAAATTTGACCAATTACCATCGTCCATAACCATCAAGGACAAACATCCCATGTTGACATAACCAAAAATTGAGTTCTTCAAATTCACAAAAAAAAGAGTGTAGATATGGGCATTTCACACACAGTCCTCTCTCCTCCACACAATACTTAATTGAAAAACGTTTTGGCAAATTCATTAGGTTTTGCACAACCTATCAAAATCTGCTATTTTTCTTTGATTTGAGTCAGAGACTGCATGTTAAAAGATAGTTTTTAAAAAATGCTGGACCCATTGAAAGCCTGGTTCACTCAAAGTATTTAGAAATATTAATGGCAGTATATTAAATACAATTTTTCAATGATTCATCTTTCTCTGGTTTGTGGTTTTGATTACTGTTCAATGCATTTAGGAGGTAGAGGTGTGTAAAACCATTCATCTTTTCATGCATTACGATGTGAGTGTGGTATTTAAATACAGTTGTAAGCTTACATGTTCTTTTTCTTACTAAGCTTTTCTTACTTTTTTCTGTTTATTCATTGATTTCAATTGATTCAGCTTATCTTAGTCTTAATTTTCTCTTCCTATATTTAAGTTTTATTCTAATTAGTTTTCATGTCCATTCAGTTGTTTTTTTTTTTTTCTCTTTCTTTTCGCTTTCTTGCCTGTTTTTGTCATAAAACTGCTTCCTATGCTACAAGGACCTTTAACGTAGATGTACCTCTTTTCTTCATCATGACATTGTGTTTTTTAATGCAAAAATATTTCTATTTCATTTTTATTTCCTAGCCTGACTCGTCCTGAGAATCTGAACCAGTTGGTGAAGATGATTGTGACAGAGCCTCCAGAAGATGTTGATGAACGTATCAGATTCAAGTATGCCAACCTTGCATGTGAACTATTGACCTGTGACACACCTTTTATCAATGAGAAACTCAGTGGGGACACACAATTGCTGAACGAACTGTATAACTTCATTGACACTGACAAGCCACTGAATCCTCTGATGGCCAGCTTCTTCTCGAAAACTTTGGGAACCCTGATATCACGAAAGCTTGACCAGGTTAGTTGAATGTATTTATCAGTCACTTATGGTATGAGTGAACTGCCATGTTATTTATACATTATCATTTCAAGTAAATGAAATCCAAGATGTTAATTTGGTTGAGGATGGAAGAACTCTTTTGTGGCTGTCACAGTTTCTATTGCATGAGCATGGTTGTGAGAAGTTCTTAGCTCGGAAAGCATGGGAAGCAGCTGGAAAGAGGGTTGAGGGCTTTTTGGTTTCAAAGTCCAACTTCTCTGAGCAGAATGCAATAGAAATCTTGTAGACTTTTCTTAGTATTGTGGCAGCCAAAATCACCAAAGCTATTCCAGTGCAAAATTGTTAAAGCCTTCACCCCTTGATATAGTATGATACCAATGTTCTGTTTTTCTTTACTTTTTTTTTTCCCCTCTCTCTTTCTCTCTCTTCCTCTCCCTTCCTCTCCAACTATCCTTTCCTCTGTTTTCTCGCTTTCTTTTTCTTTTCTAGAACTGGTTCTCCTATCAGTTCACTTGTTTACAGGTTCTAGAATTCCTCCAGTCTAAGGAAAACTTCATACCTCTTCTCCTGAGACATTTAGGGACCTCAGCCATCATGGATCTTCTCCTACGACTTATGGTCTCTATCGAGGGACCTGAGTTATGGCAACGAGTGACTAATGTAAGTTCATCATTCTGATGACATGGTATTTCTGTTTCCACTGTAAGGGGTAGGTATAATATTTGAAAATGCCACTCTAGTGGTTGACAAGTCAGAAAGTGATAGAGAGAGTGATTGAATTGCTGGAGCCAACAGTGGAGCATGAGTGTCAGTGCAATGCATCCCAGCTCCTTTGTGAGATGATTCGTGTGCTGCGTGACCAAGCTCAGCAACAAGAGAGAAAAGTCTGTGATCCTCTTCTTGCCACCATTGAATCGTGAGGCTGCCTATTCCATGAGTTCCCTTCAGGTCTTTATTCAAGAGTTGTCTTTATTGCAGGTTATGTCTTGGTATCTTTCAGGAAAGAGGCAGTGACATTGCTGCTAGACAACATGTTGAAAGGAGAGACAAAGAGTGAAAGCAGCCTTGTGTGTGGAATATCTGTGCTGCTTGTTCTCTTGGACCTGAAGAGACCTGAAGAACGACTCATTGATGAGGGACAACATTGTGATTCACAAGAGCATGACTCGATCAATGCCAGCATGCAGGACATCCTGGCACCTATCACCCCGCGTCTTCCTGAATTCCATCAACTTCTTGTTGAACCTCCCAAGGTGAATGTTTAGTTTTGATCTTTTTCCCTCCTTCCATCTTTTAGGTAAAGGCCTTGAAATTGAACTTTATTTCTGTCTGTTCTCATCCAGAAACCATCCATGAAAACAACAGTGGGTGTGATAGAGGTTCCATTTGGGAACACTCGGCTCCAAATAGCCAAACTCATTGCTGCCTTGATCACGCTCAATCAGCCATCTGTCCATGAAGAATTTGCCAAATTGGGCACTTTGGACATTCTATTGGTGAAGTTTTGATTTTTAACTCCTGTGGAAGGTTGTAACACTAATGGCATGGAAGGTTCATTTCCCTTTTTTCTTCCAGGACTTGTTTTTCAAGTATATCTGGAACAACTTCTTACACAGTCAGGTTGAGAGAATAATGTCCTTAATATTAATGAGTAGCATGGTTGAAAATGAGAAAACAAAGGAGGAACTAGAAGAGAGTGGAAGTGGGGACCCCCCGCTGTCTTCCTTGTCATCAACTCCACCTCAGTCCCCTCAACCCAGCCCCCTTCTAGTCCATGTAAATTAAATTCCTTAATTATTTCCAATATTGGGGAGGGTGCATGGAAAACATTTATGCTCTTTCTTTACACAGTTATTTCAGAAGTGCCAGATTGTGAAAAGGATATTGAACCATTGGGAAGAAAATGATGCAGATCAGTGAGTTTCTATCATTCATTTGGATTTTGTACTGCATGATTTTCACTGTAGAAGCTTGACAAAATGAAGCATTCTTGCTTGAATGGGCAAAACGTTGATTATAAAAATGCACTGGTATGTGTTGTACAGAAAAAAGGAAGGAGGCCACAGGCGAGGGTACATGGGACATCTGACTCGCATGGCGCAGGATCTAGTAGACCAGGCAAGCCAAGGTATCAATAAGGAGTTCATCTCACAAGAGATTCAGAAACTCCCACAAGAGGTCAAGGAGAAGTGGGACAACTTTGTCCAAACAACTCTTCCTGATATTACTAAGACTGCTTATTCCATTACTGTTGTAAGAAAGTTGACTCTGTTTCCCTGCTAAGCTCTTTGGATTTGTACCATACTATGATATACATGCATTTGATGAAATCTTTTGCAGGAAGAGGCACAGGCCAGTACAACAGCAGGGGATTCTGAGAGTGAAGCCCTAAGAGGTTTCCCTTATAGCCATGCTACTTTTATGCAACAGGTAACCTCTGGTGCTATGATGTTTCTCTCCTTCCTAGTCCTTATTAGGTGTAAGCTCCCTGTTATTCTCTTCAAGGCCTTGATGCAGTACCACAATCAGCTGACCAGCAGAGGTCTGCCTGATGAGTTGGGTCTTCATGATGAGGAGTTCAATGAGAATGACTCCAATCTTGTGTAAGTTTCCAGGTATCTCTCTGCTCTAGAGCTAACCTCTGTTGATTGAATGTGGTCAATCTCATGTGACTTCACAGGCAAAATCTGAATAGATTCCCAGGCATGAATTTCAGTCAAGAGCTGGCCAATGGAGGAGAACTTGCCGAAGAACTTTTTGAGCAAGAATGTAGGAAGAGGAGTCAACAGATAGAAAAAGAAGTAGAGGATGGAGGACCTGAGGATATGTGGCGGGCAAAGGAATTCCATTTACCTTCTTCCCAATCAGAGGCCCCTGAAAGGTAAACTTATGAAGACCTTTGATAAATATAACCTTAACTTGAGGCACATAGTTGATTCAGTGGAATGGAGCATGCTAGTGATCTGCTGTCTTTTTTATGCTCTTGCAGGCACCACAGCTCAGAGGAAGAGGATGAAGGGGAACATGAGATGGGAGAAGGAGTTGAGAAAGATACCCATGAAGGAAAGGGCAAAGAAGTGTCTATGGAAGTTGACCCAGGAGATCGTGAGTGAATTGCACTTCAGATGAACCTACAAGAGTTGTCTGAAAAGTTCTCTATATTGATTTTTAAAATGAGTTACACTTGATGAATCATTAAATTTCGGTGAGCACTGGCTATATCTAATAGTATTCACTGTGCGAAGATTGGTATAAGTTTAGCCACATTTACACTTGCTGCTGGATATTGCATAAAGTCACTATTAATGACTGTTGTGTAAGAATCATTCTCAAAACATGTAATTCGAGATACTATGAGATATAACCAGTGCTCACAGAAAATTTAATAAAGATTTGTCGTGTGTAACTCATTTTTAAAATCATTGCAGAGAACTTTTTGGACAACCCTCATATATAGGGTGGTAAAAAAAAAAATGCTCTACCATTTTCTATGGGAGAAACATAGTTTCATAAATGTAGCAAAAAAAAATTACATTGGATATGCAATCGATATTTGACAGATACAAGGTGTTGAATTGCTTGCCAGCTTTTTTTCAGCACCCTTGCCTAAGTCATGCAATGCCAAAGGTGAATTAAAGGTGCTTAGAGATGGATCATCCCACCTCATGCGAGGCGATTACCTGTGCTCGACCGTCTCAGAATTCAATGAATTTTTCAACTTTAACTTTTCAAGGAACAGTTGCATTCAGCTCATACTTGACACGTATCTAAGGGCTTTTTTCACATCCGCAAGATGGCGCTGTATCCCGATAGAGGGCACTGCTGTTGACCAGGTGACCGAGGGTGATTAAAAAAATGTGTAATGCTCCACCTGTAAACTGTGTAACAGGACAATACATGGCTCAAAGAATTGTTCAGGAAAAAAAAAAAACAATCTTCTTAACACCTATATGTCCAATATCAAAAGCTTATGAATAGTATATTTTTTGCTCAAATACACGAATTGTACTTTCTCCACTTTGAAAACGGTGGAGCCTTTTTTTAATCACCCTCAGTCACCTGGTCAACAGCAGCGCCCTCTATCGGGATACAGCGCCATCTTGCAGAAGTGAAAAAAAGCCCTTAGACTCATGGACCACTATGTCAAGTATGAGCTGAATGCAACTGTCCCTTGAAAAGTTAAAGTTGAAAAATTCATTGAATTCTGAGACAGTCGAGCAGAGGTAATCACCTCACTTGAGGTGGAATGATCCACCTCTAAACACCTTTAATTCACCTCTAAATGGGCATTGCATGACTTTCAACACCTTGTAATTTGTCAAATATCAATTGCATATCCAATGTAATTTTTTTTTACCACCCTATATGCATGTTCTGTGTAGGCCTTTCTGAATCTTGTGGAAAAATTGTTCATGCTCATGTTTCACAGCATGGGCAGGTGTCGGTGCAACAGAGGCCCTGCCAATGGATGTTGGAGGGAATCCTTGGGATTCTCAGAGTCAGGCGAATAAAGTGGTAGGCTCAAACACAAGCAAAGATGGAGAGGGTTGGGCTGATTTTAGCAAAGCATCTGAAGCTTTTTCTGCCACATCTGCTGTGGTTGCTGCTGACATGGATGTCTCTGAATTGAAGGTTTCACATCCTAATGCCCAAAAATATGGTAAGCACCTGAGTTGGGCGGGGGGGGGGGCATTGTGATTGTAAAATTAATTATACAAATCCTCACTAATTTCTTTATTCATTTATTCATCTCTTCTCCTTAGTTGTATCACAGGACAATGAACAAAAGCAAGAGGGGTCAACTGGAGATGACAGCCCTGGTTCACCTATGTGTATGGACTCTGAGGAGAAAGAGCAGAGGTATGTGAAGTTTCTCTGTTGTTTCATTTGCTCTGCATGCCAAGATCAGAAACTTGCATTTGTGAAATTCCTTGAATTCATGGTTGTAGGGTTTCTAATGACCCCCAAGAAAGTAAAGAGGAAGAGAAGAAGGAAGTCCCCAATGGGCCTAGTGAGGGTGTCACAGGTACCATTGACAGTAATCTTCCCTCTGGCCCCAATGGAAAGTGAGTCAGTTGAATTATGTGTCCATGTACATCCCGTTCAGATCATGCTCAATAAAAGAAAATGAATTACTTTGTGCAGAGTACAAATGGATGCGGTTCCCGAGAGCACTAGCCCATCAAATGTGAATAGCACGGTGCAAAATGGACCCTCCTAGGATGTGCAGGACCAGATTAGTTTCTAAGCGTGATTTGGATGTGACAGAGAGAGAGAGAAATATGCAGCCGAGCCTTCATTCCCTCTCTCCCTCCTCCCTTTTTTTTTCTTCTCTTGTCTTCTCAAAGTGATTCCAGTCCAACCCTAGGAAGATCATTCATATCTGACATGGAATTATGTTGCTACCCAAGGTCAGGTAATTCCAGTAAAGGCAATGTCCAATTTGACACGTACATCTACATGCTCTTGTTGTCTGCTTTCCTCTCATATGGGCTTCATTGAGATCTCGCGTGAGATTTCTGGGTGCACGCAATGCCTTTGTCATGCCTAAGACCTCGTGTGAAAGGGATCCTTCATTTTATTCTTGCAGAGTGCCATTAGTTTGGTATAATTGTGTTTGTTGCCTCTCCTGATGGCATTTTGCAATGAATTGGGCCATCAGTCTATGGAAACAACAGCCTACTTCATTCTTGTTTTGTCTGCTTCTATAAAATCTGACAAAAAGGTAACATGCAATCAGGATATGCATCATGCCACTCAAACTAACTTCACCCAGGGAGTAGGTCATGGGTTCTTGACTATGGGGACAGTGCTCTCCCTAATAAAGAAGTTTCCTTTCCAGAACCAATGACCTAAATCCTGAGAAACGAAGGTCTATCACAAAAAAACCACCATGATGGGAGGTTTCATATCACAACTGTACCAAGAGAAAACAGTGATGGGCAATGAAACAACAAGAGGTGCAAACACCTGACAACAAGAAGCATCAAGCTTGACAGTGGTGGAATGTAGGTAATACTTTCTCTCAGGAACTTTTCCTCTTTTTTTTTTTAGATTTGGAAGACATAATAAAGAAATGAATCCAGAGGTGTAGGTTCTCAGTTGGAAGCCAAAGGTTTCCTGGCATTGGCAAAACCTCTTGGCGTGCTTGTTCCCGAGCCACTGATGCCTTTTTTCTGTCCTGCTGCCATGTAGGAAAAGACGCAGAGTACCGAGTAGCAGATCTGGTCCGCCTAAAAAGGAGATGGAAATGAAGCAGTTATCGTGATGATATTGCTAATTTTGGTTGCATGCAGTAACAAAAGCGCGCTTCAAGGAACGAAAAATTTTTAACAATGAATTACAGAAGAAACAAGCCAGTAACTGAACAAAACCTGAAATGATGAACTTAAGAGGCTGGCGGACGACGATTTGTCAAACAAGGGTCAATGGCATGCATTGACATTAGATTCATCAACTCCACCAGGATCCTGTTACTCTGAAATCAGGATGGAGAAAAATGAGAGAAACTAGAAGCGGAGCGTGACATTTCCCTCCCATTTTATTTTTCCACTCACCATTGGAGACTTGTACTGCCTTTGAATCACCTGCCTGGTTTTGGGATCTGAAAGAATTCATGACTTGATCATTGTCCGTTGAAGTACAATGGTAGAAAAAAAGGAAATACACTCACTGTACTCCTCGAGTACAAAAATCCCGCCTTTCTGAGTGAAGCACTTGCGAATGTGGTCCAGTCTGACGAAGAACTGAAATGTATCGCATGAGAAGGGTAACGTATATAACCATTGCTACCAGCATCTGGCAGAACAGAACAGGCATCTAAATTGCATTTATTGTGTGCATGTGAAGACTAGTTCCCTACTTTTCATGTCACCGAATGGTTTCCTGAATTGGGGTGTTGACATGCATGCATAATATTCTGGCTAAGAGCATGCTGTGCGGTCGACATGCAAGCATCATCAGGGACTTTTTTCCCATAGACGGTGCCGTGAAACACCAATTTGGTTAATCCTTGTGCCATCTTGCATGTGAAATCCAATATTACGATTTTTGAAAGCGGGCACGGTAACCTACCAAAACGAAATCTTGTCGAGGAAATCACAAAAATAGCGATTTTTTCAGTAGATTGGCCTCTGGGTACTACAAAAAAGCCAAAAATCTTTTTCTCGTCGATGTTATGCTTTGTGACAGTCTGAGTACGCCTCACGGCGTATCATGGGGCCTCTGAAGGCTTTTCATCGTTATTCTGAATATAAATTATGTTAAAATCCAAGCAAATGGATGTCCTATGCTAAGACTTTCTGACAGAGTAGTGCCCATATTTCCTCCTATTTAGAAATCGTTTTGATTATGGAGAGTGTGGGGGAGATGGAGTATTATAGTCCAACAAGGTGAAGGTTGGACAGGAAGGCTCTCTTTTTCTATTATGTACGGTTGCAGTTGCAGACACTGATGTCGGACGTCAGTCTAGACACTCACGTAAGTACTGGAACGAAGGGTCCATTCGCTTCGGGGCCTCCAATCCTGGAGGGACGGCTTTGACATTTTTGTTCTGAGCATCTGCCAAACAATTTTTTCATCGTGCGATCGACTGATTGATTGATTGTTCGCGCGCATCTCCCTCTTCTCTGTTCCTCATGCAGAGAAGGGCATGCGTTTTCCACCGACGAAAAAGACACACAGAGAGCATAGGACACTTGGAGATGGTCTCACTCAAGGTGCAAGAAAATCAAGGACAAGCGGGCCATGGGAGAGACGAAAAGAAACGTGACCAGTGTCTGGGCTCGGGATCGGGACTTTCATTCTCAGATGCCCTCTTCCCCCGTGTGGGAAATAAGTCCATGAATAAATAAGTAGGAAATAAATGAAAGGAGCCAGTGAGTGACGTATATACAATACGTCCACTACGCTTCTCTGAAAGCGACTAAGCTCTCTCTACCACGACCAAGGCTACAACATCAGTGATATATATATATATAGATAGATAATATGAATGGCGTGAGAGAGGTAGAATAAATTAGGGAAAGAGAGGAGGGGAGGAAGATGCAGGAGAGAGAGAAGAATGTATGGAGACTTGTTTTCACCTCAAAATCCTGCGAGTGAGTGTCGATCCGGATCGAAGAAGAGGAGGGAAAAAGAGAAAAAAGAAACATGATCTGGGGACGATCTCCCTGGACTCATCTCTATAAACTACTCCTTCTACTCTAAGACTGAATTGAATGGAGAGGAGGAGGAGGAAAACAAGGACCATCTCAAAGTGCTCCTATGCTTGTGATGGAATGAACGGGCATCCATGAAAGAAATGAAGAAAATAACTAAGATGAAGAGACATGGAAGGAAGGGAAAAACATTCAATCTGGAAAAATCCTGAAATATTCCATGCAGATGGAGGATAGATTATTTCTGGAAGAAGCAGAATGCCTTTTGAAATAGAACAGGGAAAAAAAGTTCCGAGGAAAGGCCTTTAGCAGGATGAAGAAAGAGGCACAAGCAGAGGAGGATGTTCGAGAGGTCCTTTGTCAATGAAAATGAGGACACAAGAAAGAAGTTCCAAAGCTGGATCAAGCGATGGACAATCACTCATTCTCACACACACTCGCGCGGTATGCACTCATCGTCTTCCTGACTTCATGAGAGCCACCAAAGTCTCAAAATTTCCAGCAGATGGGCAACTAACAATTTCATACATGCAAGTATCAACAAAGATTGCAATTCTCCTTTAAGATCACAAGAACTGTACTGTATATTCGAAAGCAAAAAAATGCAAATCGCAAGGAGGAAGTAGTTACTGTTCACCAACTATCGATGATTTTGAGATTACTGACACTCCCGGTCGCTGGAAATGAAGGCTTTGCTGTTGCAAACTTCAAACAAGGACAAACTCCATTGGAAAATGAACTAGGTCGAAAATGTTTCGTGCATGTCTGTTTTCTTCTTTTTTCTAAATATCTGTATAAACAGTAGACTCTGTTCTTCCAATGCAATTTAACCTATTTTACAATTATTTTTTTCGCGGAGGCTTTCTTTTTTTTAACGTACCGGAGACTGCCATCGGATTTCATATCAAATGACCAGGGACTGAAAATGTTCAGAACTGTTAAACCTTCATGGTAAATATTGTTCCTGGACACACTCCCAATTGCTTCTTGGAGATTGCTATGACCAGACAAATCAGAGTATCCGCGAACGATCGCTGACGAATTAAATGGAAACATTCAGATGGATTCAATGACTAGTAACTCTCATGTGACCATTAAGTGGTGAAATGGAAGAGGTCCAGAGATACCACAGGGATACAGTTTCATAGAACAAGAAACCTGTCGCCTTACTTTAAAGCTCGTCAGAGGTAAAACAAAACATTAATCGAGTCTCATTCTCATGGAGAAGTGATAGAACGTTCGTGCCGAAAAGTGGTATAGAATTTGACGGTGTAACCCTCGAGCTCTGCCCACGAGTGCAGGTGAACGAGATCGATTAAAGAGATTAAATCGTCATGCACTCGAGACTTTGTTGTCTCTCCTTTCAATATGTCTTACTCTCACGCACACGTCTAGGACAACACAGGGGATAGAGAGGACTGGAACTGCACTAAAACACGTATAGGGAAGAAAAGAAGACGAAGAAAGGATGAAAAGGGGCAAAAAAAATTCCTACCTTGCTGGTGGCGAAGAGCAGTCCGACGCCTTCCATGCAGACCTGCAAGAGTCCCCCCTCCCCGGTCTGAAGGTCTTGAATGGGGAATTCCCCCCCGAGCTCCGCCCCCCCGAGAAGATTCGGCCCTCCTCTCACCGCTGCCCTCTCCATCGCTTCCTTCATGCAGTAGTACAGTGCCTTGCACTAGAATCGGAAAGTAACCAGGAAATTCAAGTTCAGTGTGGGCTCACGTTCGCTCATCGAGTCATTCGATTCTCCTCTCGATGGGCCGTGCGTCTCATTTTTCTCTCAGAATGATAAAATGTCGGGATTTATTAATTTCTCTTGCCCTTATAGGCGAGGAGGAGAGGATTTGTTTTCCGATTATTGCTGCTTTCGAGTGCTTATTGTTGAATTTCTCTAGGATACGCGTGAAACCGCCCACTTTTACCTTTCTCGTGTGGAATTTGTAGAGGTGGGTTTCGCCGCCGGATCTCTTCCATAGGCACAGGACTTTTGTCTTGGGACTGTATGTCATATTCACGATCCGCTCGAACCACCATCTCTCGATGATGGCTCCGTTCACCGACCTATATGGATCGCGTGCATCAGCCCACTCCACCAGCTACTTTGCAGAGCAACGGTGGAAAGCGAGAGAGAATTTTCACCTGACGATGAGTCCATCATCTCGAACTTCGAGGAACTGGAGATCACCAGTCGTATCCGTGCCTGCATGGACCGTGAACGTTTGACGATGGAGTTGCCGAGAGGGCAACGGCTTCAGGTCGATGTCATTTCCGTGCTAATGAGGAACGAGAAAATAGCACCGTTTCGTTAGTAATTACCCATGAGAATTACCCATATTGCATCGAATCGACCTTGGCACCAGAGGAATGAAAAGTTGTTACTTATTTTTTTTTAGCGCATAGTCACAAAGAATTACGCACCGAAAATATGAAAGTATCCTTTATACTTTCCTTAAGATGGAAATAAACTCCATTTTGCTCTTACCTCGTTCACTAAACAAGCAGATATAAATGCTATTTGAGATAAAATTGCTATTTACAAAAAATTGTTTCCTCTACAGTCCTTTCCATTGGTTCATTCTCATACTCTTCGAAACTAACTTGGTTAGGACCGAATGCAAATTTTCTGTTTCCCCCATGTTACAATTGTCTTTTGGAAAAAGTCCTTCCGCGAGTCTCGAGATTCTTCTGCACTTGCAGACGTACCAGATTGTGGATCTGGTCGAGGAGGGAATGGACTTCCTGGCTGTAGACGAGGCCGATATGGGATTTGCCCAGGAGTCTCCTGATCTTCCTTCGGATCGCTTCCTGGTTGATCTGCACCATGACCATCACGGCGACCATGTTGTACAACATTGTCGCCAAGAGACGGTCCTCCTCGTGCTCCAGTCGCTTCCTTTCGCTGTCCGACAGCGTCTTGTACCTAAGGGCCGAAGATGTACGTCATTTAGTGAGGGTGCCGACCTTTTTCCGTGGATACGGACCACCCAAGAGCTATCGTGTACAGAAGGTGGTTAAAAAAATATTATACGGTATGAAGCCTCCTGTAAGCCCTATCCTCTAGGATCAAAGTCGGACCGTTGCAAGTGAAAACATCCAAGGAATTCCCCTGACTCGACTTCAACCAGTAATCAGCTTCATTCATGAGTCAAAGGTCGGTTGCGAATGTGAAATTAGTGCCGTTGACCCAAGCACCGTATGTGAAGTACCTTTCCATCATTTCGACGGGGCCTTGGTCCATGCCGGCGAGGTCTCGTTCCTGAGACACCGCGTCCAAAAAGGCATCTTCCCAGAAAGGCATCTCGTCCCACAACCGGCTTCGCTCTCGCATCAACCCTGAATTCCACCATCGATCCATCACTCGACGAAACAACGTTGGAGGAAATCGAGACGACGACAACGAGGAAAAAACGGTACCTTCGAAGAGGTAGCACCTGCCGGTTTCGGGGCTGGGCGTGGCCGGAGTGAGACTCCCCCCATGATACCTGAATCCCCCCGAGAGCGAAGACTTGCTCGACCAGATGCTCCCTCGCTTGGACGCCGTGGATCCTCGAGGAAACTGCAAGAGCATGTTCATGCCGGGCCCCGAGTCGAGTTCGGAATCGGATACGGTGCTGCGAGCGGACTGGCTCTGGCCGCGAGATCGTGTCAGACTCGGATTCATCGTGAAACTCCCTGCTTCCGACGCCGGTTCCGATCCGTCTCCTCCCTGCAAGTAAGTTTACCCCACAAAGGTCGTGATCCGTGGCTCTTCGGCAATCGGGGAAGGAAGGCAAAAAGGGACGAGAGAGAATGACGGACCATGTCGAAGCTGGCTTGAAACTTGGCCTGAAGGAGTTGTCTCTTTTGAGTGAACAAGTCTCGAAGGGCATCCATGGTCGAGGAGCCTCGTCGGGCTTCCTCACGTTCTGGAGTTTCATTGATCTCAGGAATTATCTGTACGTTCGGGGATTGCGGGCTTTGAAGGGCGTCTCCCACCGTCCCTGCACGGGAATATACGAAACAACGTCCACTACTATCATCCCTGCAGATAACGTTCCCTTTTCGACAAAGACGGTTGACTTTCGCTTCAAGAAGAGAACTGCGTACACGCGAAGGAATGGATTTTTTATTTTTATTTTTATGATTTTTCTGTGCTCCGCTGGTTCTCGATAGGAGAACGGGAGGGAAGAAGAGAAAGAGATGAGAACAGACCGACAGCGGAAGACTTGCGAGAAGAACCATCCTCGTATCCAGACGGAATGGTAGAGGCGACCGATGATTCCCCCGGGGAATCCAAGTTGTCCCGGCTTCCCAAGAGACTAGAAGACTGAATACGAAGAGTCCAGTCGACCGTGAAGATCCAATTCCATCGAGCCCACGCGGATGAAGCAAATGAGTATTTACCTGGGAGAAGGCATGAAAGGTGTTGGAATCGGTAGGGTCCTTGGTCCAGTAATGAGTGTGAGCGATGTGAAGGAGTCCGAAGGCGGACGCCATCCCTCCCAAGCCGTAATTCGCGTAGGTCGCCTCCAAACCTACCGTCACGGCCTGAAGCAGCTTCAACATCCCCTTCCACACTCCCCGCTTCACGCACTGATGACGAAATCGTGTCCGGAGCGAGATCTTCCAGCGAGAGAGAGAGAGAGAAAAGGGCGAAAGAGGATTCCCTTACGACGTCGTCGATGTGGTCGTCGGGCCCGATCTTCCGATCCAAGGTCTGATTGAGCCTGGTGATGACGAGGGTCCGCAGATGCTCTTCTTCCATGAGTTTCTTGACTCGGTTGAGCTTGAGCCAGCCGACCCCTTCCCCTTCCAGCACGCCAGACACGACTTCCTTGAGAAAGGTCTGGTTCTCAGCTCCTGCCGCCCGGGAATTCCGATCCGATACCCCGACGTGTTCGAATTGCTGCTGCTTCTGGATAGGAGGAGCGTGTCGGATCAACGGGGACCTCTCCGCCATTCCCCGACGACCTCCTAACAAAATAATGGGTCGAATGCATCGGTCAAAGACGGATCCATCCTGCGGGTATCCCAAGTGACGACGAGACAGACCTGTGGGGAAAGGGCCGAAGGGAACCTGTCTGTCCTTCCCTTTTGAAATCGTCGAAGGGGCAGGGCTCGCGCTTCGATTCGGCGATGCCTTCCCTCCTGTTAATTCCATCCACATCCATTCACAATATGGAATGATCTGTCACGGAAAGGAAGGGCACAAAGGAGGAAGGGGGAACTATACCGAAGAAGTCGGTGAACATGGAAGAGGCTTGGGCTGTGAGATTCTCCATCTCTGACGTCACACTGGAGATGAAATGCTTCCCAGAATTAGAGAACTGGAACTCTCCTTCGTTCTCTCCATTTCCTTCCACTTCACGGGGAGTCGGGCTCATTTCCTCTCTATCCCTCTCCCATGAATCTCCCAACCCCTTTAAACCGTTCACCGTCTTTATCACTCAACCAGTCACGCGATGGGGGGGGGGGGGGGGCACGCAGAAAAAGACGGATAGGTACCTTGAGCAGTCCCTTTTTGGCAGCGACTTCTTTGGCCTGTTTCGTGAGGTCTCCGATGGTGTAACGGCCGACGTGAGTCAGATCGTCCAACGTGCTCTTGCTGGCCACGGCCGCTTTTTGCCCCGATTCGATCATCTGCTTCGAGGCCTCTTGGGCCACTTGCTTCGCCTCCTCTGCTGCCTTCTTCGCTTGCATCGTCAACTAGCACGATACAAAAGAAAGTTATAAGACTTAGGTGATTGTCACAGGGCTTTTCTTTCCAAAAGGAGGTGGCTCCCTCTCTCCCTTCTTATCTCGCTTTCTCTTTCGTCACTCACAGTGCTCTATTTTTTTCAGTAAGAAAAAAGGAAGCAAACAAATAAAATAAAATAAAACTGATCCAGGGACATGCGGACATTCCAGGGACATTCCTTAGATCCTCAATTTTTCTCGATGAGCTTACCCAGGTAACACAGATAATTGAATCAACATGGATTGGATGTGGATTGAGTGTGCGAATGTTGAAGGTTGAAGGTGAACATTGTTTCAATGTTGATACAATGTCGTCGCATCACATTGTGGATTCCAATTGGGGACTATTCGGATTATATTTATTAGATGTGGCATAATTGTTAACCCCTCTTAAAATGATATAGAGTTGGACCTCTCCAATAGGTTTTCGGAGTACTATCAATCTACCACAACATGGTTTCAATGTGGAAAAAATGAGACTCCTCAACTAATGAGTTGCATGCCGTCTATTATCGAGTATTTGAATAATTATTTTTTTTTTGTATTCGGAAACAAATACATAAACTATTTCCAATTATCCCACGGTTATCGCGGAGACGTCTTGCATCTTCTTATGGAAGTTATGTTACCAGGGTAGTGTAGTCTAGGCGCGATCATAATGATGTACGAAGAGAGCTCACTAGATGGTATCCATGTTCCCCTGTAGCCTCCTAATGCAATTAGGAATCTGTCACCTTCGATTAAAGCGTTTTCTTCCCACTTTCCTCTTTTTTATTACGTAATTAATGAACACATATATTAGAAAAACGTGGAATTATGATGTTCTGATTGCAGAATGTGATTCGGAAACAAATTAAATGTCCAGGTTTAGTGTGAGCGCATAGAAGTCTAGGTGATTGGAGACGTGTAGAGCACATTCAAGAATAACCTGAAGTGATCCATTTCACAAATCTAAGAGAGGAGCTGGGAGAATTTATCCTCGTTTTGCAAACCAGTTATGCATACAAGGCTTTGGTGCAGTGTGCAGAACTGAAGAGGACCCATTCTCTCAAACTTCTCAGTACTCTGTGGGTATTGACCTATAGATAATGAAGAGGATTTATCTTCTTTTGTATATGTAGTTCATGATCCATAGGTCATGCGATTCATTTTGATGAATTTACCTCTACTCGATCCGTGGAGAAACCCACCTAGCAAACATAGTAACGTTGTGGGAATGTTCCCCCAGAGTCAATACAGTGTCATTGACGTTGAAGGTCAAAGGTCAACGTTCTGTGAATATTGTAGCCATGTTATGACATTATGTTATCTTTTTAAATAGCATTTTAAAAGAATTTGTGTGGTATGTTTCATGGAATATGCATCGCCAAATAGGGAAAAATATTTTTTTTTCACCAAATGACAAAGAACTTATCCAATGTTACTACCCCAGTAATACCAGATATTGGGTGAATGTTGGGCCAACATTGGGCAAGATGTGTACATGAATATTGCCATTATTGCCAATATCTGCTAAATGTTGGCTCAATATTGACTTCCCAATTTTGCCATTCCATCATTGATGCAATATTAGACTGACGCGATGATCCAATGTGCCCAATTTCCAATGAGGAGTTAATTTTGAGGAAATGCTGAAGTTCTCCTCTTGCCCACTAGATGGTGGCATGGGTTTTGCTTTTCGCACAGTACACAAAAGTACACTTCCCTCTTTCCATGGAAACATCCCTCACAAGAGTGTTTATTACCTCACCATATGTTTTTCCTTGCCTCATTATAACAACCAATAAAATCGGACACTTATTAATTTACTATCCATATATTCGAGACAGAAACATGGGGCCCAGGCAATAAATAAGCACATACTCCTTATGAGAAATCCTTGCATCCCAGGGCACAAGAATTCAACAAGAGTTTCTATAAACTCAATCATATACATTGGCTCTATTCTCCATGCTTGAGAGGAAGAATGATTATTCTATTCCCAGCAAAGGAAAGGAAGATTTCTGTACTCCATAGAGCAGAAAGGGGATAGCCGTTCCCTGTGAAATAATAAGATTAGTACATTCAGAATAATATTTAATCCATTGCCTTCATTATTGACCAATTATGGAATGCTACAAGGGTGGGATTGAGGGTTCAAATAAGTGACATTGCAATGTTGGCTCAACGTTCAGCCAGTGCTGAACTTCAAAATTAACGTTCATATAACGCTAATTGAATGTTAATATGTTTGCTGGGAAGGTAGTATAGTGGCATCAAGAGGTGTAACGCCCATTTGTATACCACGTGTCGAGGTCAAGCTTTCTTTAACCATGGTGTTCCTATAGTGGACGGCAACATTTTTGGCGACGATGAAGGTTTTTTATATATGGTACACGAACCTTGAAGCATTTGGTGTATGCAGTCAACTCAAGGGCACAAAGGGCTTCTGTGTTGCTTTCGAGGGGTGAAACCTGCGACTACTACGCAGCGTACGTGCTTAAACGTAAAAAAAATATCGTTCACATCCGAATGTTCCTCAAAAAGCTACGGCTAATCAAAATAGAGAGGTTACTTTGTAACAACAGCGGACGAATTGAGAAGGGAAAGAAAATGGATGACCACGGGAAAGACGGATGAGCTAATAGTTCAAGAATGTCAATCGATTATCCACCACACCGCCGGCCTTTCTGAACGTTCGAGGCAGTGATGCTCCGTGGACTTCCAGCAGCAAACGTGATTTGCAGCCGCAGCCAAAGAAGGTTTGGGGCGAAGCTATTGGGTACAGAGGAAAACAATTTCCTAATCCTGTTTTACTGTTTTGGATGATCGAAAAAAGTATGTCTGCAGGGCTTCGTCATCGACTGTAGATAGACGTCCTGAGCAGTTGGCAGCCATGGCTGCCAACTAATGGCAGAAGCCGCCTTATATACCCCNAGCAGTTGGCAGCCATGGCTGCCAACTAATGGCAGAAGCCGCCTTATATACCCCGAGGGCAGAAGCTTCGAGAACATTCCAGCATATACAAATGCCCATCACTCCTTTGAAAATTTTTATAAATAGTTTTAGAAAGTATTGCAAGACTTTCTTTCCAACCCAATATAATTGAATGAGTCATGTATGATTCGAAGTCATTTTAAAGGACGTAGGGAATGTTGGATTCTAATTAGGTTCCCTTTATATAATGAATTACCCGATCTTGTTAAGTCATTCGAAATCGAAGGAATTCTTAGGTGTCCTTGGATATAACTATATCCTAGGCACTGCTTGTTCACAGGCACCCAATTTATCTTCAGTTTCTGAGGAAGTAGCCTCTCAAACTCGGAAAGAAAATGTCAAACTGGGAAAAGCGCATATCTTCGGAAAATTGTTGCGGATTTCGGCGGATAGGGCCATTAAACAACGGGTTGCATGGTTATGCATCGACGACCAGAAGAGAAGAATAACGTTTGCACATTCTATTTTTAGAAGTTTCGGCATCCTCGATGTCGTATAAAATTTCCAAGGAACTTTATTGATTTCATATCAGGAAGCCATCGACTCCCCCTTCGTCGATATCGACTCTATTTTCCGACTTCATATGGGCAAGCAATGGAATGAATACTTCAGGGCATTGTAATTCCAATGGAGGAAACTTCATTCAATCCACGTACATTCCTCGACCGACAAGCGTCTCCCATACCAGGTCCGTTTGTGGTCTCAGTTCGCTGCACATTCGACGGTGCACGAGAAGCCCGCGTCAGAGAAGAAGAGGTCGGATTTGAAGAATAACATCACCGCCCCGCCCCCTGGCACCGTGTAGGTGCTCACCGACGTGTCCCCGCACAAACTGAAAGTAAAAGTGAACATGTGAGAATAGAAGAATGAGAACAAATCGACTTTTGGGAGAATCGAACGTTCTCAATGATTTTTTTTTCCAATGTAGTATCCTTACTGTTTCAAGTGTGAACATTCGGTGACAAGTGGAATCTTGGTTCGAGGATTCGGAAATATCGGAAAAGGGAGGGCTTTTCGATTGGCAACTTTGTTCTTATTCCTTAATTGCCGTCTTGCACGCACGAAGTCTCCCTAAGTACCGCGACGTCATGACAATTGTAGGATGCCTGTCCTTTTACTGCATCGCGAACAATTTAATGCGAGACTGCCTACACATGTTGAATAATATTAATATACACGTAAGTCACGTTTAAGTCATGTCTGATTTGAGTGGTTGTAAAAATAGATTTTTCCCATTTATTCGGTGATACAAACGAAAGAGCTTCTTCAACAAGAATGGTTAATTTGACTCACATTAAATCCCCATTGCCGGAGATGTGCAGAGCATCAAACATGCAGAAGAGCGACCACTGAATCTGGACGGTGGGACAGTTCAGCGTCATGAGATTCGGACACTGGAAGATCATCCACAAGAACGACATCATTTCCAAATTGTAAATCGAGGACTGCCAGAATAAGAAGAATCCCCGCCTCACCGTGAAAAAGCTGGATTGAGCGACCAGTCCTCCATAGTTGCCGGGGAAGTTCGGGCTCGTCACGGTCTGGCTCGCACCCGCC